GTTATTTGTAATAGATGTCATCCTCTGTAACATTCTACACCATTGCCACCTCCGACGAAAGTTCTTTCCTTCATCTCCCTTAAATTCAGTGACACTATTGTTTACTTATTTCCCCTCTTCTGTCTTATTGTATCTTTTCTGTGTTCTTCAAGGATTCATTCTTAGCTTCTTTTTCCTCTTATTTCACTCTACAGTCGGTTCATGTCAGAGGGCCACCTCCCTCTCTAGTCCTGCACTATCTGGAGCCCCAGTCCTGCATAGTCTCCACTGATAACTAGACCTTTCTACTCAGATATTCTAGAGTAAATACCTTGAACTCACTGTGTCCAAATTGAAATGTCACTTACCAAGCCAGCTACTATGCTGCTTCTCTGGTATTCTGGAACTCTCCCTTTATTTCATTACCCAGCACATGGCAGTTAGTCTGCCATGACCTGAAGGAAAGAATAAATTCTTCGAATTACCTGAGCTGAAATTCTGGGACACCTTTGACTTGATCTCTGTAGCCAACCACATTCAGTCTGCCAATTCATGTCGGAGGGTATCTTGTATTCCTTCTTCCCACTGCTGCTGCTTGGATATTGCTGTAGATATCTTGCTAGTCCTCCTTTCTCCATGTCTTTCCCTTGCTAATCTTTTACATATGTTGCTGCTAGAGCAGTCTTGATTCACAGGCCTGATAATGGTGATGAAGATGATAACTGGTATTTACTGGACACTTACTATGGCCCCACTATTTCTACGTGTTTCTATGCATTATCTTACTAAATCTATATAACAACCTGTAAATACTGTAATTATTCATATTTTATAAATGAAACCAAGACCCATACTTAACCAGAGGGTTAAGCATCTTGTGAAGTTAACACAGTTTTTCAAATGACAGCTGGAATTTCAACCCAGGTTGTCTAAGCTTTGACTACTATAGTGTTCTCCCTCCCACAGAAAACATTTTAAATAATTCTGTCAACACAACTGGAGTGCCTTTTACTTTTACATTCAGCACCCTAGGTGAGCTGACACCCCCCCCCCTCATTATTCCCATTTGTTTCTCTATGCCAAAAGGAATTCTTCTGATATTTATATGTTCATGCTCCTCCCTGTAATTTTATTCATTTTTTCCTGCCGGGAATGCTGTGTTCCCTTCTTTATCTAAATTCAGTTCAAATGGTTTATATTCCATTGGGTTGCCTGTAATTTATCTTTCCTCTGTAGCATGTTCTCTGAACTGCTCTTACAGCACTTACCGCTTCTACTTCCTGTTTCATGTTTTATCTCTCCTATTGGCCTGTAATCATCTTGACTGCAGCATCAATGTAATTTTTTCTGTCCCCGTACCTTATACAGTGCATGTTCTCCAGTGATTTTTCTTTGTTAAATTCCTTTTCAAGAGATATTTGTTCAATAAATGAAGAATTTAACTATTAGTCATAGACCATTAGCCACAAGATTTTTGTATATGCAGCGTTTTAGTGTGCCATTTCTCACTTCCATGTGGTTCAGTAGTTCATTAGACTAATACACAACATATACATGGAAAGAACTGGTGAAATGTTTATGATATAATGGGGGTTTTGAACATAATTTTGTAAGGCTGGCTAGGTTAAGGTACTTCAATTTGAACATTTCTGAGTCTAAGATACACATTTTTCACAGACAGAAATCTCTAATATAGAATTTTATTTTGGTTTTTTAAATTTCCCTATAAGTTGGTAGTATCTTAGGGTCTGGGGAATGTGGTAAATACAACAAATGGTGAATTTGTTAAAGGGCCTTTTGGAGCAATACCAACAATTTGGATTTTTGTTTATATTTTTAGAAGATAGTCTTAAGTTTCTCTAGGTTTTGTTACCTTATTTCTTTGTTGCTTAAAGGCTTTTAGAATGACATGTGAAAGTTTTGTTTTTTGTGGGGGAGTAATAGGAGAAACTTATGTTTGAATGAGTAGAATTTTTTCAATTAATGCACGAGTGTAGAATTTCTCAAGTACAATGTTATTCACATAAAATTTTAAAACATGCAAAATAATCTTACACCTTGTAAAAGGATATAAACGTAGGGCCTCCCCGGTGGCGCAGCGGTTGAGCGCTGGGTTCCGAAGCTGCCCGCAGCCTCTGCAGCGCCAGTTCGATCCCCGGCTGCTCCCCGGCCACCGGAGGCGGGTCCCACATGGCGTGCAGACCTCTCCTGCCGCCCGCTGCTCCCCTCAGCAGTGTACTTCGGTCCTTCTGCCTGCTCTGCTCCCCGCTCTGGCTCTGGCGAATTCTCTCACCCTCCCGTGCTTCTGACTGTACCCGGTGCTTGTATAAATAAATAAATAAATATTAAAGGAAAAAAAAAAGAGATGGCGAGCATTTAAAAAAAAAAAAAAGGATATAAACGTAAGTAAGGATGTGATGATATATAGGAGAGCCATAAACACCACATATTGGGTGATGGTTGCCTTGGGAGGCAAGATGGGTGGTGGTGGTAGGGGAGTAAATGAGAAAGAGATGTCGGGGGATCTCTGCTATATTTGTAATGTTTACTTTCTGTGGTCAAGTGTGGACATTTGTTACATTATTCTTTGAACCTACTTATCTGTCTGAAATATTTTATAATTTTAAAAAATGAGAAGGGAAAAAGGAATATGTGTTTATGGTTTATGATGTTAAACTTCAATAAAAGGGTTTTTTTTTTTAGTTCAAGCGGCATAGTTAGTCCCACCCTTAACACCCTGCTCCCTGTTTGCACTCCCAGAAACAAACATTTTACTCATTTCTCTGAAGCTTTCCAGAGAACTATATATAAACAAGAGTATATTCTTACATAAATTCTTACCCCACCTTTAAAAATAAAATAACCAATCTTTTATATAAACAGTACTTTTTATGCAATTGTATACTTTTTAAAATTATTATTTTTTTTTAAAGATTTATATATGCATACAAGAACTGGGGTGTAGGCCAAAGGTGCTGAGGAGGGGTGGTGGTGAGAGGATTCACCAGAGAGAATGGGGAACAGAACAGGCAGATCTGCTGAAATACACTGCCGAGGGGAACAGCAGGCAAGACAAGAGAGAGTGTGCTGTGCCATGTGGGTCAGCTCCCTGGATCGAACTCATGCCACAGTAGCTGGTGATAGCTTGATAGTGCTGAGACTTTAACTCCTGCACCACCAGGGAGGCCCTCTTTTTTAAATTAATGTATTTTGGGGATTATTTCATATCAGAATACTAGATACATAATTTCAATAAAAATATATTTAAGTTTTTATTAGTAATAACTACATTTATCTTTATCAGTTATATTCTTGACTATCCACTAATAAGTATATTTTTTTCCTCTGTGACATTTGCTTAACCAGCAGGAAACCTGGGTTTCTCTCTGATTCCTCTTTCCAAATATTACAGAGGCCTTGATGTGTAACTAGACAGGGTCCTCTGGTTTGTGGGTTATGTTCCCTCTGGGAGGTGGAGAGGAAGGACATTTGGGCTCTTGAGCCCAGTGCCTTGCTTTGAATCCCCTTTTCTGTCACTTACTAGCATTGTGAACTTGGGTAAATTAACTCTGTGCTGATTCATTGCTTCATCTGTAAAATGCATTGAATAGTCCCTTTTGCACAGAATTGTTTATGTATTTATTTATGTATTTATTTATTTAAATATTTATTTATTTATTTATGCAAGCACTGGGTACAGTCAGAGTCGCGGGAGGGTAAGAGAATTCACCAGATCCAGAGTGGAAAGCAGAATGGGCAGAGTGATGAAGTACACTGCTGAGGGGAGCAGCGGGCGGCAGGAGAGGACCCTCACCCCGTGGCCGGAGATTGAACCAGCGCTGCAGAGGCTGCTGACAGCCTCGCAGCCCAGTGCTCAACCGCTACCACCCAGGAGGCCCTCCTTTTGCATAGAATTGTATTGAAGATTAAATGACACAAAGTCTCTGACACATAGGAAGTACTATCAAGTGTTAGCTGTTTTTATATTATTAATCACTCAAGCAGTTTGCTGCTTACACTGCTGCCATTCTCCTTACAAATAACCCCACACTCTCATTAGTGACTTCTGTAGACCTTGGCCTCTCTGTCTACTGAGGAAATTTAATTTTTTTAGGATTTGCTTTTTCAGAGGAGGTTCTCCCAACCCTCCCTCTTCCATCCATTATTGCCCTTTATACCAAAACCCCCATCTCTCCTAAATCATCAGGGCTCTCTGCACAGGATGGGTGGGTAGTGAGTATAGCTACCTCCCATTTGCCTGAAACCATGGCTCTCTTAGATGTCATTGGTTGTCACACTAGACTTTAGCAGAATTCTTTGTGCGTTCTTTCTCATGCATGATTTTTTTCCCCATGAAACCATTTGGTACCAACCTATATTCTGCTTCCTTCAGGAACCTCCGTGTTTATATATGTCTAATTCAGGATTTAGATTCTTTCCCATGAGACCCCTGGATGAGGCTTAGCATCTACTTTGAGGGTTCCTGAACTTAGTGTGTCTGCTAAGTTTCTGAGACATTTTATGATAGAAGGCTGGTGTTGCCTGATTACACAGATGATCCGTAAGGATCACTGACCACCATAGCCCAGCCAGAACACTTTGTTGTGTTATTAACATTTATAGCTAATATTTGAATAGAGTTTCCACTATAAGGTGCTTTTCCTGTAACTTACCACATTTAACTCTGAGGCAGTGATCAGTATCTCATTCCTATTTTTCCAGTGAGGAAACTAAGAACTAGAAACTTTGTAATTGTGTAGATAAAAAGTGACAGGCGTTCCCTTATATCACTCATATCAAGTTACCCTCTTACCAGATAAAGAAGAGCATATTTTATATTTTAAGCAGAGTTGATATCAGTTGTCATGATGGATTAAGTGCTAGGTATAAGTTGAAATCAGCAATACTGAAAACTGTTGAATGATTTCATTTAAAACTAGATCTCCTTGTACTCTAGGTCTGTATGAACTGTAGCCAATTTTACAAAAACAAAAAAATACGTATTTTGTTTTTTTTCTTAGAGCCACAATGGACACAGCTAGCCATAGCCTTGTCCTTCTGCAACAGCTCAACATGCAACGAGAATTTGGTTTTCTGTGTGATTGCACAGTTGCTATCGGAGATGTTTATTTCAAAGCCCACAGAGCAGTGCTTGCTGCTTTTTCTAACTATTTCAAGATGATATTTATTCACCAAACAAGGTAAGGATGTGCTTTTATAAATCAGAAGTATTTTTAATATTGTGTTATTAGCCTATTATAACACATCATTTTGGGGATTCTTTGTTATGGGGTCACTAATAAACAAAACATTTTTTATTAATTTCTTTACACATGAGTAATTAAACTAGGCGTATAGGATCTATGGTGGAAGATAACAATGAAAACAACACAACTAAAATTTATTGAACGCTTATCCCACAGTAAAGAATTTACCTAATGTAAATTCTCCTGTAATTTTTTCTGTTTTAGAAAAAAGGAAACTAAGAATGAGTGTTAAGTAACTTACCCATTCAGGATTATACAGTTAATAAGTTATATACAGCTAATAAGTTCAAATGCAGGTCTTATGGTCTTAAAGGTCTGTGCTCTTAGTCACTAAGTTGTTGATTTCTATTGTATTCACTTTCACAGGAAGATTTCAGTACCATAATTCTGCCCACCTTATATTCAGTGTCATAGGTCTTTGTTTCATTTTTTTAAAAATTTTTTGAATTTGGGTTATCCAAACATGATAAGTATATATAGAGAGGGCAAGAAAGTGTTACTCAGATTCTGAACTTATAGTAAGAATAGTTTTCATCCGTCCTAGATTGACAGTGATAGAACACTTTTTTTTAAAGACCTTACATAAAATACTTAAGAGACAGCCTCCATTGTACATTTTTATTTAATTGTTCTTTACTTCAAATGTTTTTTATGTACATACTTGTCATCCCTTGTACAGGATCTCCTTTACAGGTTATGTTATATTCCCTGCCCTCAAAAAATTCATAGTAGTTTAATTGATCTCTCTGTGCCTCAGTCTCCTTCTCTGTAAAACACTGCACCCACCCCATTATATTGAGACTATTAGATGGTTTAATATTAAAATGCTTAGAATAGGGCCTCCCTACTGGCGCAGGTGGTTGAGCGCAGCGCTGTAAAGCTGTCCATAGCCTCTGCAGTGCCGGTTTGATCCCCACCAGCCGCGGCGCAACCCACATGGCGCGGCAGACCTCTCCTGTCTCACGTGCTGATCCCCTCACCAGTGTGTTTCCATCAGTCTGCCTGTTCTGTTCCCCACTCTGTCTCTGGTGAATCCTCTCACCCTCCCGCACCCTCTGGCCTGTACCCCGGTTCTTGTATAAATAAATAATTCTTTTAAAAATAAAAACAATGAATAAAATGCTTAGAATAGAACTTTATGATGTTAACTGCTATTGTTAATAATTAATGTGATAAGTCTATAATAGAAATGTTATACAAGGTAGAGTGGAGAGTCGGTAGCCCTATTGGAACAAATTTTATAGCAGCCCTGGGTCTTAAAGGATCAGGAATTTTTCAGGTATAGGGAAATGCAAAAAAGGTACATTGCATAAAGAGGGGGACAAAAATGCATGAAAACATGCAGATATGAACTAGACTAGCACATTTGGAAAACAGAGTAGTTAGAATGGCTGAATATGTGTTACAAGGGGAGAGGAGGTTGGAGTGAGGGATGGGCCATGGGTAGCATTTTCTGTCATGCAAAAGAGTTTCCTGTATAACCTAAGTGTCAGTGTAGAAACTGGATTAGAAACATTACTTTCACATCAGTGTTATCCGAGAACTGTGAGTTGGTTTCCCATCAAAGCACCCTCTGTGTACCAGGCACCATGCTTAACTGTATCCAGGAGGTACAGAAGTGGCAGGTCCGCTCCGTGGTATCTCTGTTGAGCATCTAAAAAACCCCTCAGTTAACAGAATTGTGTGCTGATACATATATTTTAAAAAAAAAAAAAAAACTTGCCATAGACGTGGAAGTAGGTGGTTCAGTACTAAGAGTGGAACCCAAGAGGGAATCCTGTGATACCAGGACTGAAGAAATGGATTGCCAGCATGCTGCCACCCACTTCATGCTGGTGCATTGACACAAACTTCTACCTCAGGAAAGGTAGATCCATTGACTGATTCTATTGTTCTTTGACATCCAGCACTTTCTCAGGTAGACTTAATCTTCATTTTGTAGGGTGTTTCCTGATTTCTTGTTATAATAATATCTACCATCTATTATCTGAATTCTAAATTCATATGTAAAAATTGGGCTTTTGGGTTATCTTAAAGCTTTTCAAAGTTATGCTTGCATTCATCTGTGATTTAAAGAGTAGATGTTTCAATATAGTTTGGAAGCCAAAATAAGGTAATCATAATTTAAATTCTAAGTATTAATCAATTTCAGGGGATCTTTTACATTTTCATAATATTTCTTATTGTGGCAAAATATATATAACATAATTTGCCATTTTAACCATTTTTAATTGTACAGTTCAGTGGTGATAATTAAATTCACAATGCCATGCAACCATTACAACTGTACATTTCTGAAACTTTTCATTACCTCAAACATAGACTGTGCCCATTAACTTCTGTCCCCAAAACTCCTGTTTGCTTCTAATTTGCTTTCTGTCTCTGTGAAATTTGCTTGTTCTAGATATTTCTTTTTTTTTTTTTTTTTTTTAAATTCATTGTTTTTTTTTTTTTTTTTTTAATTTTTTTTTAAATAAATTTTATTGTTATATTCCCCATACAATTGCAGCCCCCCCATTCTGACCCCAATCCCTCCCCTCCCACCCCCGCCCCCCTAAAAGTGTCTCTGGTTCATAGTTTTTTGTTGATTTTGATTTTCACTTTCTTATAGTTATTCATTTTCCTGGTCCCTTATTTAAGTTTTCTAGATTCCTGCTATGAGTGAGACCATCCGGTATTTTTCTTTTTCTTTTTGGCTTATTTCGCTGAGCATGATCCCTTCCAGCGCCATCCATGTTGCTGCAAATTGCATGTGTTTATCTTTTTTGAATGCTGAGTAATATTCCATGGTATATATGTACCACATCTTCTTGATCCAGTCATCTACTTTTGGGCATTTGGGTTGTTTCCAAAGCTTAGCTATTGTAAACAGTGCTGCTATAAACATAGGGGTGCAGGTGTTCTTTGGAATTGATGTTTCTGTGTCCTTTGGGTAAATACCTAGGAGTGGAATTGCTGGATCATATGGAAGCTCTATGTTTAGTAGGTCCAGAAATCTCCATACAGCTTTCCACAGTGGTTGGACCAGTTTGCACTCCCACCAACAGTGCAGAAGAGTTCCTTTTTCTCCACACCCTCGCCAACATTTGTTGTTGCTAGTTTTTTTAATATGTGCCATTCTCACTGGTGTAAGATGGTATCTCATGGTAGTTTTGATTTGCATTTCCCTGATGACAAGTGATGTTGAACATTTTTTCATATGCCTGTTGGCCATTTGCATTTCCTCTTCAGAGAAGTTTCTTTTAAGCTCTTCTGCCCATTTTTTGACTGGATTATTTTCTTTGTTGTTGTTGAGTCTCATCAGCTCTTTGCAGATTTTTGTGATCAGTCCTTTATCATTAGTGTTGGGTGCAAAAATGTTCTCCCAGTTGGTGGGGTTTCTCTTTGTTTTTGTTATTGTCTCTTTTGCTGTGCAAAAGCTCTTTAATTTGATGTAGTCCCAGCTGTTTATCTTTGCCTTCACTATCACTGCTTTGGGTGATGTGTCTGTAAAGATGTCTTTGATGTGCAAATCACGTAGTGTTTCTCCTATATTTCCTTCTATATATATTTTTTTTTTGGTTTCAGGTCTTATGTCTAGTTCTTTAATCCATTTTGAGTTGATTTTTGTGTATGGTGTGAGGTGGTGGTCAAGCTTCATTCTTTTGCATGTAGCGACCCAGTTTTCCCAGCACCATTTATTGAACAAACTTTCTTTGCTCCAATGCATATTCTTTGCTCCTTTGTCAAAGATTAGTTGACCATAAATCTGTGGGTTTATTTCTGGATTTTCTATTCGATTCCATTGGTCTGTATGTCTGTTCTTGTTCCAATACCATGCAGTTTTGATGATTATGGCTTTGTAGTATAGTTTGAAGTCTGGGAGTCTGATGCCTCCATTCCCTTCTTTTTTTTTCAGGAGAGCTTTGGCTATTCGGGGTTTTTGGTGATTCCATATGAATTTCATCAATAATTGTTCTATTTCTTTGAAGAATGACATTGAAATTTTGATTGGAATAGCATTGAATCTGTATATTGCTTTTGGTAGGATGGCCATTTTAATAATGTTTATTCTTCCAATCCATGAGCAGGGGATGTCTCTCCATTTCTTTGTGTCTTCTTCTATTTCTTTTAACAGTGTTTTATAGTTTTCTTTGTATAGGTCCTTTACCTCTTTTGTTAGATTTATTCCCAAATATTTGATTTTTTTTGTTTCAATAACAAAAGGGATGGTCTTTTTGATTTCTTCTTCTTCAGATTTATTGTTTGTGTATAGGAAGGCTACTGACTTTTGCGTGTTGATTTTGTATCCTGCCACTTTACTGAACTGATTGATGAGTTGAATTAGCTTTTCTGTGGAGTTTTTGGGGTTCTCTATGTATAATATCATATCGTCTGCAAATAGTGATAGTTTGACTTCTTCTTTTCCTATTTGGATTCCTTGGATGTCTTTCTCTTGTCTTATTGCCCTGGCTAGGACTTCCAGTATTATATTGAAAAGCAATGGTGAGAGTGGACATCCTTGTCTTGTTCCAGATCTTAATGGAATTGCTTTCAGCTTTTCACCATTGAGAATGATACTGGCTGTTGGCTTGTCATAGATGGCCTTTATGATGTTGAGGTATGTTCCTTGTATCCCCAGAATTTCAAGGGCTTTTATCATGAATGGGTGTTGCACTTTGTCGAAAGCTTTCTCAGCATCTATTGATATTATCATATGGTTTTTATATTTCTTTTTGTTGATGTGTTGGATAACGTTGATTGATTTTCGGATGTTAAACCATCCTTGTGCCCCTGGAATGAATCCAACTTGGTCGTGGTGAATTATCTTATGGATACATTGTTGGATTCTGATAGCTAAAATTTTATTGAGGATTTTTGCATCAGTGTTCATTAGGGAGATTGGCCTGTAGTTTTCCTTTTTTGTGTTGTCCTTGTTCGGTTTTGGTATTAGTGTAATGTTGGCTTCATAAAACGTGTTTGGTATTGTCCCTTCCTTCTCAATTTTTGGAAGAGTTTGTGAAGGATAGGCACTAATTCGTCTCTGAATGTTTGGTAGAATTCATTTGTAAATCCATCAGGTCCTGGGCTTTTGTTTTTGGGGAGGTTTTTTATTACCATTTCAATTTCGCTAATTGTAATTGGTCTGTTTAGGTGTTCTATTTCTTCTTTATCTAGCTTTGGGTGATTGTAGAGTTGTAGGAATTTGTCCATCTCCTCTAGATTGTTAAACTTGTTTCCATATAACTGTTCATAGTAGTTACTGATTATTCTTTTGATTTCTGCTGTGTCCGTTGTGATTTCTCCTCTTTCATTGATGATCCTGTTTATTTGTGCTTTCTCCCTTTTTTCCTTTGTGAGCCTGGCTAGGGGTTTGTCTATTTTATTGATTTTTTCAAAAAACCAGCTCTTGGTTTCATTGATCTTTTGGATTGTTTTTTTAGTTTCAATTTCATTTATTTCTGCTTTGGTTTTTATTATTTCTTTTCTTCTACTGGTTTTGGGGTTTTTTTGTTGTTCTTTTTCTAGATCTTTGAGCTTCGAGATGAGGTTGTTTCTTTGCGTTCTTTCTTGTTTCTTGATGTGAGCTTCTATTGCTATATATTTTCCTCTTATTACTGCTTTTGCTGCATCCCATACATTTAGGATATTAGTGTCCTCCTTGTCGTTCAATTCAAAAAATTTTTTAATTTCTTCTTTGATCTCCTCATTAGTCCAATGGTCTTCCAGTAGTGTGGTTTTTAATCTCCATGAGGTAGGAAAGTTCCTTGCCTTCTTTTTATGGTTTATTTCTAGTTTGATGCCTTCATGGTCAGAAAAGATGGTTGATATGATTTCAATCTTGGTGTATCTGTTGATGTTTGTCTTGTGCCCCAGTATGTGATCGATCCTGGAGAATGATCCGTGTGCGCTTGAGAAAAATGTGTACTCCGTTTTTTTGGGGTTTAGTGTTCTATAGATGTCTGTTAAGCCTAATTGCTCTAGGTCCTTATTTAGAGCTTTGGTTTCTTTACTTATTTTTTGTCTTGTTGATCTATCCATTGTTGATAGTGGTGTGTTGAAGTCTCCCACTACGTATGTGTTTTCTCTGATGTCTGTTTTCAGAGAGGACAACAGTTGTCTGATATATTTTGGTGCTCCTTCGTTTGGTGAGTATATGTTAATGAGTGTTATTTCTTCTTGAAGTATTGTCCCCTTGATCATAATGTAGTGACCATTGGGGTCTCTTTTTATCTTTTTGAGTTTGAAATCTGTTTTATCTGATATAAGTATAGCTGTTCCTGCTTTCTTTTTTGGTCCATTTGCTTGTAGGATTGTTTTCCATCCTTTAACTTTGAGCCTATTTTTATCTTTTGTAGCTAAATGTGTTTCCTGGAGACAGCAAAAGGTTGGGTTTTGTTTCTTAATCCAGGCTGCCACTCTGTGTCTTTTTATTGAAGAGTTTAGTCCATTTACATTTAGAGTTAATATTGATATGTTAACATCTGTATTTGCCATTGTGTTTGTCTTTCCTTTGATTTTATTTATTTATTCTTTTAATAACTTTTTTTTTTTTTGGCCTTCTTTCATTGTTATTCGTCCCTCTGAGGTTCTGGCTTTAGGACTCCTTGTAGTATTTTTTGGAGTGGGGGTTTAGTTGCAATGAAATTCCGGAGTTTCTGTTTGTCTGGGAAGGTCCATATTCTTTCTTCAAAGAGGAAGGAGAGCTTTGCGGGATAGAGTATTCTTGGTTGGCATCTGTTTTCTTGGAGTCTGTTGACTATGTCCCTCCACTCTCTCCTTGCCCGTAGTGTTTCTTCGGAGAAGTCTGATGTCAGCCTGATTGGTTTTCCTTTGAATGTTATCTGTTTCTTCCCTCTTGCCAGCTTCATTATTTTTTCCTTGTCCTGGATTCTTGGGAGCTTTACTATTATGTGTCTTGCTGTATTTTTCCTTTCGTCGTGGAAGTTTGGTGTTCTTCTTGCTTCTTGTATATCAATTTTCAGCTCCTTCTTCACATTTGGGAAGTTCTCTTCAATTATCTCTTTGAATATTTTCTCTGTTCCTACATCTCTCTCCTCTCCTTCTGGTATTCCTATAACTCTTATATTTCCTTTCCTCATGGAGTCAGATAGTTCCCGAAGTCTTTCTTCGTTCTTTTTCCTTCGTACTTCTCTTTCCTTTTCTGTTTTGGTTCTTTTTATTTCTGTGTCTTCAAGATTACTTATTCGTTCTTCCATTTCATCTATTCTGCTTTCATTGCTTTTCCCAGAATTCTTTAGTTCTTCCATTAATTCTTTGATCTCCTGCATTTCTTTTACTTCCCTCTTTAGGGACTCAATTTCTTTCTTCTGACCATTGTTTTCCCTCTCTAGGGACTCAATTGCATTCTTCTGATCGTTGATTATTTTTCCCTTATCATTGTTTTCCTTTATGACTTCTGTCAGTTTTTTAATCACGGCAATTTTAAATTCTCTTTCTGGAAGGCTCAGAAATTCTTCCAAGTTATTGTCTTTGCAATCTGGGGGCTGGCTTTCTTTTTGTGGTGTGCTTTTTCTCTGGAGAGTTGCTAGGTTGCGTGTGGTTCTTCTCCTCCCTACTGTCTGTTTTCTAATTTGCCGTATGCGTTGGGACACTGTGTTGTTGGGACTGGCCGGCATCTTGGGTGGGCTTCTCTGTTCCCCTCTGGTTCTTCCAGGAGTCATCTGTCAGTTTCAAGCAGCCGGGCGGCCGGGGCTGTGTGCTGGGGCTGGTCTCCTCCTGGGCGGAGCTCTCTTTAATGGCGCCTGGAGCTCACCTCCGCGGCGGATCCTGCAGAGTTCGCCTCAGCTCCCGTTCACGGGGTGTGGTGGCTGCAATAGTTCCTTTCCACTCACAGTCCCGCTTGCTGTGTCCGTTTTTCTTGTTGGCCGTTTTGGTTTGTTGTTTCCTCCTCTCTGCCGGTCGGAGAGTGCCGACTTTGTGGGCGGGGGAGGGGAGCAGGGTTCTGCGCTTCCCTCCCTTCTCGTCCTCTTTTATGGCAACTTTCTTTTTCGGGCAGTTTGCTGGAGTCGTCCGTTTATCTTCCGTGTCCCAGTTCTCACTGGGACCTGCCGCTTTTCCTCCCTATTAACTTTTTTTAATGGGAGATCTTACTCGCAGCGTCTCCTCGCCGCCATGTTAGCTCATGCTTCTTTCCTCTGGTTCTGTTCTAGATATTTCTTATAAATGGCATTACGAAAAAATTTTCTTTTTGTATCTGGCTTATTTCACTAAGCATAATGATTTCAAGCCTCATCCATGTTGTAGCATGTGTCAGAATTTCCTTCTTTTTGGTGGTTGAATAATACCCCATTATATGTGCCACATTTTGTTTATACATCATCTGTTGATGGATAACTGGGTTGTTCCCACCTTTTGGCTAATGTAATGGACATTGGTGTACAGGTATTTGTTTTCAATTCTTTTGATAAATATATGCAGTAGATTGTTAAGTTCCTCAAGAACAGGGTACCTATTCATTGTTTTTCTGCCCCCTGGCCATCTAGTATGATACATATAACTTAGGAGTCATTGAGCTCATCAAAATGCCTGTGTTCCCTAACTGTAGACGGTAGATTGAATATATAAAGACTTGTTGCTGGATCACAAAACAGATATACCATGAAAGTTCAAGCTTTATTTGCTCTCTTTCATCAAGGCAGGTTGCTAAGTTTGAACCTCCTAGTAAGAAATTGTTTTAGCCTAAGACCATTCTGTTAACTAGAAGGCCAACTGGGTTATTTCATTTTCTGTGGGTCTTTTTTTGTTTGTTTTTAACAGTGAATGCATAAAAATACAACCAACTGACATCCAACCTGACATATTCAGCTATTTGTTGCACATTATGTACACGGGGAAAGGGCCGAAACAGATTGTGGATCATAGTCGTTTGGAGGAAGGGATTCGATTTCTTCATGCGGACTACCTTTCTCACATTGCAACTGAAATGAATCAAGTGTTCTCACCGGAGACTGTACAGTCCTCAAATTTGTATGGCATTCAGATCTCAACAACCCAAAAAACGGCTGTCAAGCAAGGACTAGAGGTCAAAGAAGCTCCTTCCAGTAACAATGGAAACAGAGCTGCTGTTCAGGGTGACCACCCCCAGTTGCAGCTTTCTCTTGCAATTGGGCTGGATGATGGCACTACAGACCAGCAGAGGGCCCATCCTGCCACCCAGGCCTTGGAGGAGCACCCGAAGCCCCCAGTGTCCATCAAGCAGGAAAGATGCGACCCAGAATCTGTGATCTCTCAGAGCCACCCTTCACCTTCTTCGGAAGTGACAGGTTCTACTTTTACCGAAAGCAGCATCAAAATACACTTATGCCATTACTGTGGGGAACGTTTTGATTCCCGTAACAACCTAAGACAACATCTCCATACACATGTGTCTGGATCCCTCCCATTTGGTGTCCCTGCTTCCATCTTGGAAAGTAATGACCTTGGTGAAGTGCATCCACTTAATGAAAACAGTGAGGCTCTTGAATGCCGCAGGCTAAGCTCCTTCATCGTCAAGGAGAATGAACAGCAACCTGACCACTCAAACCGGGGTACCACAGAACCTTTGCAGATTAGTCAAGTGTCTTTGATCTCCAAAGACACTGAACCAGTAGAATTAAACTGTAATTTTTCTTTTTCAAGGAAAAGAAAAATCAGCTGTACCATCTGTGGTCATAAATTTCTGCGAAAGAGCCAATTGCTAGAACACATGTATACACACAAAGGTAAACCTTATAAATATAATCGATGCCAAAGGTTTGGTAATGCATTAGCACAGAGATTTCAACCTTATTGTGACAGCTGGTCTGATATCCCCCTAAAAAGTTCTCGTTTGTCGCAAGAACAGTTAGACTCATCTTGTGCCTTAGAGTCAGAACTCACACAAGAAAATGTGGACACTATCCTAGTTGAATAGCAGTTTCTCCTTCAGAATTTTTATATCAATTCTGAAATAGAAAATTCATCTGCATATTTTCATTTATAAATTATTTTCCTCCCCACATTCTATTGGCTTTTATTATCCATAGTGTTACAAATGTACATATTAGGTCTTATTGTAAAATATATTAATACATGGCTGTTAAAAGTGAACCTTCAGTTGGAGTTGTGAATGTTTCATAAATTAAATTGTAACTTAGAAATCAGTGTAGAAATGTGGAACTTTAGAGTGAATAGTTAATAGAATTTCTAGGTTTTTCCAGGTTGAATAATCAGTAAAATCAAATTGAATATAAAATAAATGAAATCTTTTTTAAAGAATATTCTAGACTATAACTTTTGGCTAACTATTCACATGAATTGAGCCCTTCTGAGAATTATTTTAAAATATTTTCTGCCGCATAGGAAATCAATAGTTATTTTAATGTATAACTACAGTTATAATGTATAAAAAGTTTATTTTAAGGTCTAGCTATACCAAATCATGAGTAGTCTTAAAATTACTTTTTACTTACTAGCGCTACAATATCTTATGGTTTTTATTTATTTTTTAACTTTGAACCACCTCATTTTTTACTAAAAAGGGAGTATAGTCAGACACACAAAAAAAATCTTAGCGTAACAGTAAGATACATAAACATAGATAAGCATACAGAGACAGATTCAGATAGCCCTGTGTTGTCTAATGTCCCAGTGTTAATACATTAATTGGGAGTGTTTTTTAAAAACCTTGAAAGCTATTTGAGATTTTTATGACCAAAGTTTATGTGAGTTTAAAGAAGAAAATGATAAAATACAAATTATCTTTCTACCTTTAGTGTCAGAGGAATTTCTAGGCCCTCTGAGTTGATGTTAATTTTCTAACAATCATTTGAAAATAATTTTTCAGTGCACAGTTTTCACTTTTTTTCTGGTCCATAAAACCAGCAGAGTACATGTAGTCAGTGTTCTAGAACTATGTTTAAAGTCCCTAACTTTCCCTCTGTAGGCAAACTTAACCTCCTCTTAATAGTAAAATTTACAAAGCTAAAACCCCAGAAAAATTAAAATTGATATATTAAATGGTAATTCTCTTGTTCTGTGTAGGTGGGAAATAGCTGGTCGAACTTTATCACAAAGGACAGATCTAAGTTATTTCTGAAATGTCTCAATTTCAAATAGTAGGTAGGGCCTCCCTGGTGGCGCAGCGGTTGAGCGCTGGGTTGCGAACCTGCCCGCAGCCTCTGCGACGCCGGTTCAATCCCCGGCTGCTCCCCGGCCACAGGAGGAGGGTCCCACATGGCGCGCAGACCTCTCCTGCGGCCCGCTGCTCCCCTCAGCAGTGTACTTCGGTCCTTCTGCCTGCTCTGCTCCCCGCTCTGGCTCTGGTGAATTCTCTCACCCTCCCTCGCTTCTGACTGTACCCAGTGCATGTATAAACAAAAAAAAACAAACAAACAAACAAATAAATAAATAAACATGCCTCTATAAAAAAAAAAAAAAAAAAAAAAAAAAAAAAAAAAAAAAGAATCAAATAGTAGGTAGTAGAGAATAAAAGAGAGAGATGCCAAACAGCCTCATCTTTTTTGTATGCTGCCCTATTAGATTCTATGCCTCACAGACATTTAAATAAATCTGATAGATTTGGTTTGTGAGGCTTAGAACTTAACTGCATACAAAACCCTGTAAGCTCTCTCCTGACAGTACACTTCTGAAGGATTTCCTGATAGTACCAACGTTCCTCAACAGCATCAGAGTTCAGTCAGGAGGGAGCTCAAAGAGTGATTGAGTTCATTCTAAGAGCACAAAGGTTTTCTTTGGGGAAGTAGTGAATGTAGGTAAATTATGAAGTGATAAGTTTTTCTTGAGAACTAAAATGAAGAAAACCAATGGGCATGATCTAAGGCAGTTCAATTTCTACTTTAGGGGTGGGGGTAGGGGTGTCAAGGTTGATATGTGTTGAGAGCAAATCTAAGTAGCTGTTTATACAAGATCAGTTGTATTGGGGTGGTTAAACAAATGTATTGTTCTTTGAGGTGAGAACTTCATCTAATCTTGAACTGAAGTCATATAAGCAGTTATTCAAGCTCACTGCCCTCAAAGACTTTATCTCATAATGTGAAAATAAATATTAACATTGGTTTTATATATTTTAGATATATTCCCTGGCCTGTTCAAGTAAAATTTTATTTTTCTCATTAGGTCATTTTTCTGATTCGTCTCCTCTTATGTGCTTTCCTACTTGCTCGTCATAAGCCCTTGGCACAGGAAGTAGGTTCCTATAGGGTAGGTTTAGGGATGCATATGAATTGTGGGTTAGGGCAGCAGTTCAGGGTAGAGTCTCAGAAACTGACAAGAGTTTGCTTGTGGCTGATTAGTGTGATAGGCACATTAGTTTAAATCAGAAATATATCTATGTAAGTATTAAAGAAAATAGTGGTTAACTGTATTTTTATTCTTATAGTTCCTTTTAAGGTTAAGAATTAAAAAAAAAATGCTTTTTCCTTAGTCTTCACAAAATTCTCTGATTTAGAAAGTGGAAAAATGTTACTCTATTTTATAGAAAAAATCCCCAAAGCTGGGTTCCAGAGAACCAATGAATATTGGTATGGACTGACCCTCATTGTAATTCTTCTTCATTCATGCAGCAGAAGTATTTTAAAAAGAACTGTTATATAACTAACACTGTGTCCTAAGTTCATCTTTTTATGAAAGATAGATGTGATTCCTAAGAAAATGTACTTGGTATAAAAAAATGTTCTTCTAGTTAAACCTTTAGTTTTGACTACATCATATGCATAATGATTACCAAACTCTTAAAACTGGAAATGCTATATGCACCTTAACCAGTGTATCAGGCTTTTTCCTCTTGGAAAAGCTTAGAATCTTACTCTTTCCAGATCCTAAATATATCTGTTTTCTGGAGAAAAATAGAGTATTTTAGTATTTGTCCCTTTTAGCATATTGTCAGAAATCAGTATCTGGTAAGGGCAGTCTGCCTTATTAAAAAACAAAAACACTTCATTTCTAACTTTCTGCCTTATTAAAAAAAATTTCATTTCTAACTTTTGAGATTATTATTTCTCATAAAGTAGATATTAGTGATCCCTACCTCACAGGGCTGTTGTGAAGATTTGCATTAAAATTATGTTAAAGTTCTCTCAATATCATTAATTAAAAACTAGTAATATAAAGAAAGCTGCATTTTTTCTTTAGCTAAATCTATAAATTTCTGTGTTCCAATCCATAAATTCTAGAATGTCTTAGAAGTCATATACTATTAATAATTAATAATTATTAGAAAAACTTTTTAATTTTTTTACAAATACTGATGAAACGACATAGTTGCTAGGTTTCTTATTCTGTAGTTTAATCATCAGTAGTTCTCTTTAGCCTTCAGCAAGGAGGCTATTAATTCCTTGGCAATATTGGAATAAAACCTTTCAATTCCAGTTTTGCTAAAAGTTCCCCAATCTTTCACATATGGGAAAGGGAATAAACGCAGTGAAGAAAATAGAATTTTCATTTATTTCATGAAAGTCATATAATAATAGATGGGGACAAGAAATGGAGCAGGGATAATAACATAGTAATTCATTGGGTTGTATTAAAATAGTAAAATAGAAAGGCTTCACTTAAAACTAAAAGGAAATACATATTAATCATGGAAAAAATAGTCTTAAAAATGCCTAATTCCGTTAATATTTATTTGCACAGGGAAATTCTGTTGTAACTCAGATCCTTGACAGGTATTTATGTTTTTTAGTAAGTGAGGTAAAAATAGACACTTTGAAGAGTTTTCATGATGTAACTTGTCATTGTTTTAAATTAAATGTAGTTTTATGGTATTTTTATTATAATTTTTAAATTCCTAAGAGTAAAATCTGTAAATGATTCTTCTTTGCTGTGTTTGTATGGTTCAACTTTTTGAAAACTGGTGAGAGTCCACAATCCCAAGCCTGTATGTCTTAAGCACAAAGAATTAACAAACTATGGTTTTTGCCTTCAAAATCTAGAAGAATCCATTGTGTTTCACACTATGTATCTGCACCACACCTGATTATGTAGTAAATATTACTCTAAGTGTAATTGACATTCTTATTGTCAATTTTCTGTTTTGTGCCAAATAGACATTTAGTTAGAGTAGATCACATGTCAACTTAAAGTACTTAAAAATGAATATTTCAAAAATTTGTACAATAAAAAAGGTACACTGAAGAAGTATTCAAAGTACAAGTAACACATCAAATACAGGAGACTGAAATCAACGATACGTTGTAGTTAAATTTTCCCGTCTAATGTACTTTGTGTTTGCTTCACAAACATTCTTTTAGAAAGTTTTGTATCTTCTGTTTGTAATAAAGACCGTGAATTTCTTGTATATTATCATGACAAATTTATGTGACTTGATGATAAACTAAATCTTTTTATAAGCTTAGCTTAGAAAATGTGTTCTTGTTTTACAGCAGTGTCTGCTAAATGTTGTCTTCCTAGTGTTGAGGTAAGAAGTCTTTGGTGCCAGATAATAATATTTTGGAAGTGTAATGCGAAAATTCATCAGCGAGCCAATTCTTATCAACCAGAAACTATGTTAATAGGCATTGGTGTCCTAGTCAAGTGGTTTCCAATTACCATCTCCGAAAAGAATTTGTTGCTTTGCTCCTTTCTTCCATATTTGTTCTGCTCTATCTCCTCCAAAAAGACAATCTATAAAAGTGGTTCTCAATCAAAGTGTATTAGTATTCTTCAGAGAAACCACTAAGTGAATGTGTATCTATAGCTATAGCTTGATCATCTATCTGGGTGGTGAGAGGGTATTTATTACAAGGAATTAACTCACACAGTTATGGAGGTTTCAAGTGCCAAGGTCTAGAATAGGCAGGCTGGAGATCTAGGAGAACCAATGCTGGAGCCATAGTCCACAAGCCGGCAGGCTTGGGACCCATAGAAGCAGGAAAAAACCAATGACCAATGAGGTTGACTAACCCTGTGCTAAAAGCCTAAAACAAGTTTTGTGATGATTGCAAGAGCTAAAATCGCAAACTTAAATTTTGGGATTTCTGTCTTAGTTATTTAAATTAATATTGGTCTTAGTGTGAGATGTTAGTTCAGAATTAAAATATTTGTATTATCCTTTGCACCCATCTTTTAAAAGATAAAAAAAATGTGATTAGTAAAGATGAAAGGGTATTAAGCAGCTACACAATTTGAAATCTAGTCACATGTTTGTACCAAATAATTATGTCTCCAACAAGGTCTCTGAAATTTAAAATCATCATGGATTGCAGCTTGTGTAAATTTTCAATCTGGCCATAAGGTGGCACCAGTGAACCCTTTAAAAATGTACTTTAGGAGCCTCCCTGGTGGCGCAGGCAGTTGAGTGCAGCACTGTGAAGCTGTCCCCAGCCTTTGCAGTGCTGGTTCGATGCCGGGAGGGTTCTTGGGAGGGGGTAGATACCCACATGGCGTGGCAGACCTCTCCTGTCTTGAACGCTGCTCCCCTCAGCAGTGTATTTCAGTCAGTCTGCCTGTGCTGTTCTCTGCTCTGTCTCTGGTGAATCCTCTCACCCTCCCACACATCTTGCCTGTGCCCAGGTTAAAAAGAAAAGAAAAAAATATATACTTTACATTATGCTTATATTTGGCATCACTATTTAACTATTTACTTAGTACTTAGCTACTCCTGGATCTTGCATTATAGAGTCATAACTAACAATTTTCTTACAATGCTTCAACTTACTTGTAAATATAGTAGCAAATTTTTAATTATAACATTTATTGTGATTATTACAAGTATAACAGTGTGGTCTTGGAATTTTAGTTCCAATCACTTTTGTTTTTTTTTTTTAATTATTTATTCATACAAGAGCTGGGGTGTAGACCAGATGTGGGAGGGGAGAGAGGATTCACCAGAGAGAGTGGGGAGCAGAACAGTAGATGTACTGAAATTACACTGCTGAAGAGAGCAGCATGTGAGACAAAAGAGATCTGCTGCACCATGTGGGTCATGCTTCCTGGCCGGTGATAGAACTCATGGTGCAGTGCCTGCAAATTGCTTCATGTGCTGAGACAACCCCTTGCGCCACCAGGGAGACCCACATGTTTGTTGTTCTAATCAGGTTGCAAATTCAGTTTTTCATGTTCTGCCTGGTCAAGAGATAAGTACAGGAATATTTGAGTAAATACTCCCTTGTTTCTTGCCCCTTGTTTCTTCACAACCTGTAAGGTTGACCATTATTTTCTGAAATTTTGTTTCTTTTTCAACTGTGGTTCAACAACTGACTTTCTAAACTGGTATTCTTCATTCCTTACTTTCTTCACTACCAACAAGTTCCATTCTCTAAGTTGAGCCTTTATCCTTTATAGAAGAGTTCTTTTGCCTTCAGCTCTTCTTGCCTTCCATTACTTAGTGAATATAGTCTGTCAGGGGCCTCCCTGGTGGCGCAGAGTTAAGACGCAGCACTATGAAGTTACCCGCAGCCACTGCAGTTTGAGTTTGAACCCTGGCCAAGGAGGTAACCCCCATAGCACAGCAGAATTCTGACTCGCCCGCTGCTCCCCACAGCAGTGTATTTCAGTCAATCCGTCTGTTCTCTTCCCCACTCTGTCTCTGGTGAATCCTCTCACCCCACCCCACCCCACCTCTGACCTGGACCCCAGTTGTTGTATTCATAAATAAATCTTTAAAAAATATAGTCTGTCTCCTCTCCTCCCCCCATCAAATTCTGCTTGCAACATTATTATTAATATTAGACTAGGACTCTACCTAATCATTAAATGCTGCCCTTAAAAATAATTTTATAGCTCATTAGCCAACTAGGAAGATGAACCTACTTCTCAAATAACTCTTCTGTTAATACAATGTTGAAATTTTTCATTAAAGCATGTAATACTGTATCAAAATAATGGAAATACCATCATCCCTTAAGCTAGAAAACCATGGTGACATTTCCTGCCCAAGTTCTGAAGGAAGACTTGGAGGGATTCTCTGCACAACCCAAGCTGTACCTGTGTTCCCTACTCTCCTGGGAACTCAGGGAGCAGCTTGTGCAGGAAGATAGCCCAAGAATGAGGCCCTCAGCAGCTGTAGTTGTTAACCACATTTTTCTGTAGTGGAGGCCATCGTACTTAGTCCAACCCATAGATAGGTAAATATCTCATTTTAAAAGTTTTTTTTTTCTTTTGGTAATTGGCATTTGTAGTGACATTTTATAGGGAGGAAAATATAAAGAACCTATGGTAGTTCTTTAGAAATTAAAGCCTATACATTTGCAAAAGGAAGGGGAAAGGTTTTAAAATACAGACCAAAAGTTTTTTAATGTAGACCAAAGATTTCAGTACAGTAACTCAAAAGTTTTCTTTACAGGACCATTTCTCATTTCCCAATATTGTCCTTTCAATATTGTGCAAAGTTGGTGCTGTGAGCTCAGTGGGTCCTGTCCTCTCTTCCTATCACAGTATTTTAAAGTGAGGGTAAGGAAGGCATATAAAGCAATCTCCTGTTTGTTTTAAACACTTGTTTTCACGGTTAATTGCTCAGATCTGCCAAACTGACAGATACTGGGCTGCACACATGCACAATGAACGCTAGGGGGCACCACTCATCGCTGAATGCTTCTGGAATTCACGGCTAAGCATGGTGGGCCCAGCCTTTCCTTATCCTGGTTTAAATGTTGACTTTAAGAAGCCCTTAATTCCGCAGCAAGTAGCAGTTTTCACTGATGCAGCTAGCAAATTAACTAAAATACATAGGCGGTATAAAGGACAATGAAGTCAGAAAAACAACAAAAAAATAACTCCTTAGGTGACACAGCTATGTGCATTTGTCAAAATTTGTAGAATTGTGCACTAAAAGGTAGATTTTACTATATGTAAATTATACATTAATGAAGTAAAAAGGTTAGGACCACCCAAATAAAAATTAGAAAAGTGGGGCTTCCCTGGTGGCACAAGGGCATAAATCTCAGACTATGAGGCTATCTGTAGCCACTGCAGCACGAGTTCAATCCCCAGCCAGGGAGGTGACCCTTATGGTGTAGCAGCCCTCTCCTTCCTCATCAGCTGCTCCCCTCAGCAGTGTATTTCAGTCAGTCTGCCTGTTCTGCTCCCCACTCTGGGGCAGGGTGAGAGGATTCACCAGATACAGAGTGGGGAGCAGAATAGACAGATCTACTGAAATACACTGCTGAGGGGAGCAGTGGGCAAGATAGGAGAGGGCTGCTGTGCCATGTGGGTCAGGTCCCTGGCCAGTGATCAAACTCGTGCTGCAGTGGCTGCTGATAGCTTCATAGTGCTGAGACTTAATCACCTTGTGCCACCAGGTAAGCCCTGGTACAAGGTCAGTTAAAATGAATTGTTCTTGTCAAGATGGAAATACTCTGGGTTTGGATGGCCTGTTTAAAGACAACTGATAGTGTGACTAAAGTTTTTATGCCACAAATGGCTATTCCACATGGAACCTCTGCGCTGTAATTGATGCATGAGAATATTTGACTAGAGTGTGCAAGTCTGTAGTTGCATTGATTGTACTGGGTCAGACTGGTCCGTGTACCCACTTGTAGCCATACTGACCCGACTTTGCTGTTCACTGAAAATACACGTCAAAGCAGGGATTCAGAAATGAAAGTTTCAAGCACACGTGTACTAATAACTGCTTCTGCTTTTGTGTCACCCTGTGTTCCCCATCTCCCAGGAGTACAGAAATGGAGGGCCTGGGTTTTAGGTCACAAACTTTTGGAGTTTTCCACATTAGGGGTCATCACACTATCCTCCCTTCAACCTAGGTTTTCCTTTATTGTCATGGTGCCTAAACCCAACTTTGCTGAGGATTTTCTGTGAATACGGAGTATGCTGTGTACAAACACAACTTTTTGTTCTAAGCTCAGGGACTTAACCCCCAGTGATCTCAAGTTTTCAGAGAAAAAATAAAAATCAGGACTCACGAAGGGTACTCCAGACTTCATCATTAGTGGTAGCTCTCAGGGATTATCAAGAAAGACAAGTATTCTGATTTCACTTGTGGCATATAAAGAAACAAAAAACTCAAAATCTTAGATGCAGAAAGTAGATTGGTGGTTTCCAGAGGAGAAAGGTGTTGGGGAATGGGTGAAAACAGGTAAAGGGAGTCAGGCGGTGGGTGATAGTGATGTAGTATTTACAGATGGAGAATTACAACGCTTATAATACCCGAAACATACTGTTATCAACAAATGTTCTCTAAATAAAAATTCATTGAGATAAATTTTAAAAATGTAAACCTATTAAAAGGGATTAGAATTGCCTTTGCGAAAGGTAGTATATCTTTTATATTACAAAAGTTGATTTAATAAAATTTAACTGCAAAATGTAAAATATTGACCATACATACAGTGTTTATATTATATATAATATTTTAAAAGTATGTACAGTGTTTATATTATACATTAAGTCATTTTGCTTTGCAACAAGGTTTGGTTTTTGGACTTTTAAGGCACCATCAACTAAATTTGGTCCCGCAATTTGGAAAAGTACACATTTTCATAGAGCCCAATTATTATCATTAGGCTGTGTTTAAGAAAAAAACAAAGTTGTCAAACATTAGGGGAATTAAATCTTAGTAAACAGAACTTTTGAAACACGCAGCTTTAGCAGGCACCATCTGAATAAGCATGTTCACATCAAGATTGCATAGTTATTTGGAAAACCATAAAGATTATTAACAACTCATAGGCTAATATCATGTAGAAAAGACAATGCTATGAGTATAGCAAGAAATGATAAAAACAAGTATACTTTTGTCAAATTCACAAATGGCATCAAAGTCAGAATTACCCTTAGGTGGAATGAGTTCAATTAAACTGAACCCAAGTTCTAGGCTTTCTAGGTTTGTGTTTCTTTTTGCTGGAGGTAGGCTCTATTAGGCATGTCATTGTGAAATCTGTCCAACACCAATCAGCAGAGGAGAACTTCTGGTAGCGAAAATGAGCATAATATACCATATTTCTCTAAAGAGATTTGGATAAGTAAAATAAACATGAGCCAATATAACATTTATTCTGTATTAATAGTACATATATTAATTCAAATTGAAATCCTTTCTACAGAGTATTATTTCTTTAATATTAGCATCTGATCCACAGTAATATACTACTAGTTTTAATGAGAAATATCAAATGGAACTTTTACTTTCATAATAGCTCATCCACTTAACATTTTTACAGACAAAGAACTACTATAAATATGTAACATTATGCAAGCTTTTTTCTGCACCTGTTCACAAATCAGAATATACTGTTTATTTAGAAACTGACTGCTTTCAACCCTGCATTTAGATGATCACCTTTGCTCACCAGACAAAATTAAATTGCTCTATTTTCATACCCTCTCTGGCACTCATGATGCCACATTACCTGTGGTTCTGTGCTTTACCCCTGTCTCAGTTTCTGTTGCTGAGTTGAGTTCTTAAAGTTGAGTTCTTAAAGTTCAGGGAGCCTGTCCCCTTTACTGACTGTGTTGTATTGAATCAAATTGAATTTAATCAGAACATCTAAATTTTATGTAGCTTCCTTCTGTTAAATTTTTTATTTTGTAGAACTGGGGTATAGGCCAGAGGTGCGGGGAGTGGAGGGGGGGAGGGATGAGAGGATTCACCAGAGACAGAGTGGGGAGCAGAACAGGCGGATCTACTGTAATGTACTGCTGAGGGGAGCAGGGGTGAGACAGGAGAGGTCTATTGCGCCATGTGGGTTACTCCCTGGTCAGGAATCGAACTTAGCCCAGAGTGGTGATAGTACTGAGACTTAACCCCTAGGCCACCAGGGAGGCCCCTCTGTTAGATTTTTTTTTAACTAAGGAGCATTACAAAAAATTCTTTTCAGAATTATACCATAAAATATACTCGTTTTTAATTCTATATGAGAAACTTAATATCACAATAAAATATCATAGGAATTTGAACCCAAAGAACAGTAAAGCTTATTTGAGGATTTTTAAAATGAAGAAATGGCAGGAAGGAAAGTCCCTGATACATTACATACCAAATGAGATTAGAAAATGGATTTTTACATATTTGAGTAAAGTTGAGATTTAAAAGGATCGTTTCAATGGGATTCCAAAGTATTTTGAAAATTCTGCTGTAAATCCCTAAAAAATAAATTATTAACTATAAAAAAATAAGGCAACTTGAAGTAAGAAATTTATGAAGTTAACTCTGGATTGAAGCAGAAGCCAGATTTACTGGTGTTGTCATGATCTGTATCTCTAAAAAGCCTTTAGCAGGAAGGCTATTCACATATATCAGTGAAATGACAATCTCTCAGAACTATAATCAGAGGTTTTCTGACTCCACTAAATAGTAGACCAAGTAAGATCATCACAAATTTGTGCTGTCAAATGGAATACCTTCAAAGAAAATTATGCAGATAGCTTTTCTGAAGAACTCCATTTGTGCCACATGCTTATTATTCTTTGAGGTGGAGGAGGTGGCAGGGAACATAATTTCTGTTTGAAAGTTCTTTTGTTTTCTGCTACCTTTACTTAAATGTTATCAGGTACTATTTTTATACCATATAAAGTACTTTGAGAAAATGTTAAGTGACTAGTGCTACAAAGAGGAGGATTTTAATATTCACTGTGTTGTAAAGCAAAGTGAACAATACTTGACTCTGAAAAGAGGGGAAGATAATATACTAAAAAAAAAAAAAACAAGTATCCAATAAACCAACTAGGCTTGGATAATTCTGAGTTCAAAGAGAAACTGAATCTCAATTAATAAATGTTCATTAAAAGCAGTACGTATAACACAGAGAATTTAAATGAAAATGTGTTGTTGTCAAAATGCCCTTTAAATGACGGCTTTTATATTGTCAAATGGATGTGAATTGAATAGGAATCTATTATATTCACTTAATGTCTTGCATATAAGGTCCAATTGCTTAAAATAAATGCTATCATAATAAAACAATTTGTGAGAGATTTCTAAGTCATCTGACTCTCTTATTATCCCTCTAACAACAAAACAATTTGGGTCAGAAGTTCACTGTAATGGGATTTGGCCATGTAGCAAATACAGTCAGATTGATACCAATTAATTTCTGGATTTCTTTTTCCAACTGGACTCCTACTTATTAGTTCACCAGATATTCTCAATAGAAAAGATTGAGAAGTCACTGAAGAATGAATGCAAGTACAGAACACATTTTATCATAAAAAAAAAATCAGTCATAAAACACTCTAACCAAAAATGTATCTCAAACCACAGTGAAGAAAAAAGTAGAAATCTATGTCTAGTTAGATAAAATGTTACTTTCTTAACAACTACACATAATTTATCACATATCTGTTTTTGAAACTTCCAAATATGCCTAAAGCTTTCAAAATATTTTCAGTAACTGGTAAGTGCTGCATTATTGCTAATTCATGAGGGATTACTAAAAACCTACAATGCAAGTATATGGGCTTGAGACATCTTTGCAGTAAGAGAAGAAATTATTCTTGAAAACACTGTAAAATGCACCAACCTTAGTCAGGTTTTAAAAATTGTTCACTTTTAAATATGTTAGCTGGTAGCTGCCTAAGTCCATTAGCACCATATATAGTGAATTAAAAAGAGTGTTTTTAAGGAGAATGACTTAGCAGTCTTTTAAAAAATTGTTTAAAAACTATATAATTAAAAGAAATTAATTTATTGGGTTGTATTTTGAAAGATCCACTTTTCATCCTGCTAAATTCATTTTGATGCCCTTTCCCCAAATTAAAGCATGAATATAGGAAAATATGTGGGAAATACTTTTGCACTTCAGCAAAGAATCCTGCTAATATCACCCATTATTTAGTTCAATTCCAAAGTCAGATTAAATTCTATCAGAGGTCTCCATATTTCTTTAAAGAAAGAAAGAAGATTCTATAGGATAAGTTAAGCACATACTTTCTATGTTAATCTATTAAAAATGCAAGAACTCACTAGATCATTTAAAATCATACAAGGTGCATTATTTTCTCCAAGAATGTCCAAATACTCTTTAACAAATAACTTGCAACTCGAGTATAAGCTCTTCATTCTTGATCCACTTTCAGAGTAACACTGCCACTCAGTTTAGACAATGGGCACTATACAATTTGAGCCCTAACCTGAGAGGTAGGGAAGTGTTATGAATGTTATGGCCCTTTCACAGAAGATCAATGACTTTGAAAAAATACGGCAACCAATGATGAGATCGATAATTTAAATAATTGAGTAGGAACGCAAATAAGCCCTTGTTATATTAAGTTCTTTTTTGTAAGAGAATGGCTGGATTGAAAATACTGGTATAAAAGTTAATTTCCAACACCCATGTATTTTTTTCTGATATTTTCCAGCACATAGGCACAGTGAAAGAACACTGACTTTTAAAATAAAATGGGCTTTCGCAGTATCTTTTCGTTTTCTAGTCAATCATTTACATGGCTCATTCTTGATCAAGAATGAATATTTTTACTAAATTATGATTCTCTGGAACTTTTTACTGCTAAACTGGCTTTGAACCCACTCTCTACTCTGAGAAGCTGATGAAGTAATCCTATGATAAATGTAAGATGAGTCCTATGTTATCTGTGATAGTTTATTACTTGGGAAGTTTACCTTCTCTTGGATGGGAAAGAATATTCCACTCTTTTTGTTTTCGTTGTTGCTTTTTGCTTTGTTTCCAGCAGATGATCTCACATGGAAATGGGTGTACAGTGGTCTGTTTGGGGCAAAAGAAAGATGAAGAGGGAAAAATGCACTCCCTTTCTCACATCTTTGCACTTGGTAATTATTTGCCTGTTTGAGGGAATCTGTGAATGGCTTTAGTAAGGAACTTGAGCAGGACTGAAAAAAAACACATGTAACTCAGATACGTATACTCTGCTGAAATTGGGAAAATACATCTTTTTTGAGGTAAGACTGCTGCCTAAAGATATAAAAACTAAATCACACATTCACAAAAATAGCTCACCTTATTCACCATTTTAAACAACGGAAATATATACTGTAAAAACAAGTTTTGAAAACCAAATGCAACATTAACAATTACAAAGGTTGAACCATCAAAAGGAAGCCAGGCTTTGTAACATCTGAGGACATTATGGCATACTGTAAGTGCTCAATAATTACATCTTCCTTCTCCAATCTTCACATGCCATTTTGGCAACTCATTGAATATCACTTTGCATTGCAATCCATACTGCTTTCCTTCAACCCAGAAGTGACTACATTTCAGTGGTAAGGAGGCTTTATGATCTTGGTATTCTTCAGCACTTCTAGGCTAGAATTGTAACTTTAAATTTTGCAGATGATAAATCTCTCATTTGTCACTGAATGCCACAAATATGTAAAATAATTCATCATTAAGCTTATTTTTTCTCCCATGATCTGGAAATTAAGTCACTGTAGAAGATTGTTTATTTTATTGTCGTCAGAGACCATTTCATTAACCAGCTGTTCTACAGACAACTGGATAGCATTTTTTACAAGCGAAGAAGCTGTTTCTATTAAGAGTGTTTCATATTGTTCTGAAGTTCTACCTTCAAAACCACTATCATTAGCAAAAACCCCCACTTGCTCATTTTCAATTGAAATTAAGAATTGCTTAGGGACATTTTTAGATTTCTTAACATCAAATTCACTTATTTCAGTGTCTGTAATAATAATAGCAATTGGTTCCATTCTTTTGCTTTCTTCTGGTTTGGGTTTCTCTGCATTGATTTCATTTTCTTTAAAATCTGTCTCCTGGCTCAATTCAGTATCTTTTGGTTTACTCTCTTCAGTTACTATCTTTCTACTTTCATGGTCTTCGCAATTCAGTCCACTTTCTGTGATACTGCTTTTGTCTTCTTCCACAATTTGTTGATCTGGGACTACTACAGGGGAGGGAGGAACATCAGAAGCCACTGGAGGCTGATGTTCTGCTGCTGAAGTTTCAGGTGGGCTTGCTTGCTGAGGTTGAACACTTTGTTTTTCAACTGTCTTAACCTCTTCTTCAAGGACTACAGTTCCGATTTGAATAGCTGAAGAAGTATGAACACTTTGTTTTTCCTCAACTGTCTTAATCTCTTCTTCAAGGACTACATTTCCTGTTTGAGTAGCTGAAGGAGGTTGAACACTTTGTTTTTCCTCAGTTGTCTTAATCTGTTCTTCAAGGACTACAGTTCCTGTTTGAATAGCTGAGGAAGGTTGAACATTTTGTTTTTCCTCAATTGTCTTAATCTCTTCTTTAAGGACTACAGTTCCTGGTTGAATAGCTGAAGAAAGTTGAACATTTTGTTTTTCCTCAATTGTCTCAATCTCTTCTTCAAGGACTACAGTTCCTGTTTGAATAGCTGAAGAAGGCTGAACAATTTGTTTTTCCTCAATTGTCTCAATCTCTTCTTCAAGGACTACAGTTCCTGTTTGAATAGCTGAAGAAGGCTGAACATTTTGTTTTTCCTCAATTGTCTCAATCTCTTCTTCAAGGACTACAGTTCCTGTTTGAATAGCTGAAGAAGGCTGAACATTTTGCTTTTCCTCAATTGTCTTAATCTCTTCTTCAAGGACTACAGTTCCTGTTTGAATAGCTGAAGAAGGCTGAACATTTTGCTTTTCCTCAATTGTCTTAATCTCTTCTTCAAGGACCACAGTTCCTGTTTGAATAGCTGGAGAAGGCTGAACATTTTGTTTTTCCTCAATTGTCTTAATCTCTTCTTCAAGGACTACAGTTCCTGTTTGAATACCTGAAGGAACCATATCTATTCCAAGTTCTACTGAAATCACATTCTCTCCAGAAGTTATGCTGTTGCTCACATTGGATTCACAGACCTCATCATCATCTTTCTGTGAGACAACTTCATTTATTAAAGGCTGGGTCAACTTGGTCTTTGTTGCCTGGTCATCTGATTGGGTTGGAGTTTTTGTATCCAAACTTTCAGCCTCTCCCTGGACTTTGATGCTGTAGTCTGAGTCTTCTATAATTTTGGAATGGTCACTTCTTTTCTCCCCTTTTGAGAATTTTATGCAGGGAATCTTACATCTGGATTTTGCCTTTTTCTTAGAAAGATCAGTGTCCTCAGCATTGATTTCAGGTTGCGTTTTAGCCTCTAAAGACTGTTGTTGCTTTGAATCTGACCTTTTCTTGCGTGTTACAAGGTGTTTGATTGAGGCCCAGGCTCCCCCTGGTGGCGGTAGGTGATCAGAGGCTCCAGCTTCTGGGGTAGGTTTCCTTGCTACATCAGCAGCTTTAGAGCCAGCTTTGGGCTTCGCTGCTTTGGCTGCTTTCTTTCTTCTCTTGAAGCAAAGCATTGATGCTTTTTCTTCCTGCTTCTCATCCTGAGAACTAACTTCTGTCAGCCTCTTTTCATCTTTACTTTCTACTTGAATTTCAGAAGCTGTGGTCTCCATTTTTACCTTACACTCTTTCATTCTCTAGGAAACTATATTCTCTCTTCTTTAGCAGCCTTTTATGAGAAAAAGGTGGGCAAAAATATCATAGTAAGTAAAATTTCTTCCAGATGTATCCATGCCATTTGTCTTATTCCATACAGTTGTTTTAGGTGGTTTCTCCAGTATACAAATGCTTAGTTTCTCAAGTACTTGTAGTTTCTTTTTTTTAATTTCTTCATAAAAGCCCTTTGCTGAATGGATTTTTGTTTTATTTAAATATCAACCTGATGAGAGAAAAGAGAGTTGTACTTTATTTCACCATCAGCCTGTTGTTTTTCTATAGACTATTCAGTTGTGTAGGATTCTACCAGGCATATTTCCCACGTAATAACTTGGTAAAAATTGAGGTTTATATACTCAACTATAAAAAGGATGAAATTTTGCAATTTGCAACAACATGGATAGAGCTTGAGGGGATTAAGCTGAGTAAAATAAGTCAGACAGAGAAAGATAAGTACTGTATGATTTTACTCATGTGTTGACTATAAAGAAACAAAGCAAATGAACAAACTAACCCAAATGTAAACAAACCCTTAGATGCTGACAACAGAATGGAGGTTACCAGAATGGAATAGGGTTGATAGGGTAGGAGGACTAGGGAGAGGGGGTCAATTTGATGATGGTAGATGGTAAGTAGACTTTTTTTTTTAAAGATTTATTTATTTTTATATAAGAATTGGGGTACAGGCCAGAGATGCAGGGGGTGAGAGGATTCACCAGAAACAGAGCAGGGAACAGAACAGGCAGATGGACGAAGTACACTGCTGAGGGGAGCAGTGGGCGAGATAGGAGAGGTCTGTCCTGCCAAGTGGGTTTCTCCCTGGCGGGCCGGGAATCGAACTCATGCTGCAGTGGCTGCGGATTGCTTCATAGGTTGCTCCTTAAATCCTGCGCCACCAGGGAGGCCTTGGTAACTAGACTTTTGGTGGTATTTTGGTGTGACACATACATTTGACAAAGTATGACACTGTACTCCTAAAACTTATGCAGTGTTGTAATCCATTCAATGTTACCTTAATTTTAAAAGATAAAATGAAATATATATATATTCTAAAAAAATTGGGGTTTACTTTTGCCATATCCAAAAAGATCTCAATTTGAATCTATTTTGCTCTATTCTCTTCGTTAAAACTTCATTTCGGATTACTCTAAAAATCTGATATTTTATCAGTTCTTTAGTTTTGCTTTCTTTGTGAATTGTTTGTGACTCTGAATTGCAACTAAGCAAACAAGCAACAACAAAAAACAATGGGGGGAGGGGTCCTCCCTGGTGGCACAAGGGGTTAAGTACTGCACTATGAAGCAACCTGCAGTCTCTGCAGCAAGAGTTCGATCCCTGGCCGGCCAGTGAGCAACCCACATGGTGCAGCAGACCTCTCCTGACTTGTCCGCTGCTCCCCTCAGCAGTGTACTTCAGTCAGTCTGCCCGTTCTGTTCCCCACTCTGTCTCTGGTGAATCCTCTCACCGCCCCCCCCCCACCCGCCGCATCCCTGGCCTGTGCCCTAGTTCTTGTATGCATAAATAAATAAATCTTAAAAAAAAAAAAATGAAGGGAAGGTGATGAGGCAAGCTAGTGTAATTTTTACTACATATAATAAAGAATGCTCAAGCTGCAGATACTACTTGAGATATGCAAGTCCAGTGAGATGAGGAAGCTGTGCTTCAGTTGGCCTGCGGAAAAGTCAAACTGCTAAAGAAGGTCACAGCCAGAGTTAGAACTCGAGGCTTTGCCGCGCCAGTGTTCTTCCCATTATACCATAAGGCTTCTAAAAATGTATGTTCTGTCAAGGAGGTGCTACTTTTCATATAGACTCTTGGGAAATTTAACATTGCTGTCATTCTCCACTCTTAAATTTAGTTATAAAATTTTGACATTTTTTCTAAGTATCTGCTGTTCAAATTTTTCCACCATAATAAGCACACAGTTGAAGGTCAGTACAAGTGAATGATAAGAGCTGACATTTACTGAGCAACTCCTATGTATTGGGAAGTGCTAAACACTTACATTCATCTCTAATGCTCCCCACACATTGCAAAGTGAGTAGGCGTGGTATTATCATCTATATATTAAGAAACTCAGGTTTAGAGAGGTTAACCAACTTGGCAGAGATTACACAGCTCATAAGTAGCAGAGTTCAGATTCAGCCCAAGATTATATATTTCTAAAGCAGATATTCTGAAACCCGGCTTTCAAAGTTTCATCAGAAAAATGTTTTGGAGTTGTCAAAAAAACTCAGACTAGACTGAGTTCTTGCTGTCTTAGAATGAAACTTAGAAATTCTTCATATTTTATTTTATTTTAGACTATGGAACTTATTTGAAGGTCAAATATAAATTGACAAGCTATACAATTGGCAAACTAATTTGTCATATATGTGACATATATATAAAGGCATATTTTAAAATTAATCCACAGAATAGCATGATAGTGCCAATGAACAGAAATATGAGGTAGTCATCTAACAAAAACCCTTTGAATTTTAGTTGATGGACGTCCTAAAATATGTAAAAGCTCTCATTCCTTGTACTGTTTTTATGTAAGTCCACTGTTGAGGGTTTATTTTGGTAACGTTTCTATGGACCAAGAACTAAACTCTGAAAAATCAGTTCCTGATGTAAGAAAATACTCCCTTAGATTGGGTGTTGTATACTCCATGCGTGTGACAAAAAGACAGTCATCTGAAAACAATGATGGAGTTAAAATGGAACATCTTCCAGAATCCCTCCCTCATATAATGCATCCATAAGCACTAGAACCACTGCTGAATGTAGCGCTCTGTTGTCTTCTCACCACTTGTGAATTCTCAGTACCTGACCGTTTCTGTTAACCACAGGTCGTGCAAATAATGGAAATATCGAAATTAGATCATGTTTAGGAATGTATCCATTGAAACTAACCTGGATTGCACAAAAGCAAATGATTGAGCAGCTTACTCCAAATTCACTGTGGAGATAAGACAAATATCCAACCAAAAACCTGACTGAAATGGGGAAAATGCCGTCTGCAGACATTAAAAACTTTGCAGAATGTTAACGACTGCAAATAAATGATTCATCCTTTACATGCAAGGGTAGTTTTCTTTTCTTAGGAATCTTAGCGTCCCTGTTGTCATTTACTAATAGAATCTCAAGCCTAATGCCACAGAATAGACCTCTTCCCACATTCCCTTGAGTGGAGAAGCACCAAAGCAAAGAGCAACCACTTCTAGAGGAAAGCAATCTCTCCCAGCACCAGATGCGGACCACGAAGCCTCCCTCGGGAGGAAGGAGTCTTTCATTCTGGCTTATTGCGCCTTATGGCAGGAGCTAGAGCGCAGGATAAAGTACTCAAAAAGGAAAGTGCCGGGGGCGTGAATAGATAACCCAGCTCCAAGCTATCTGCAAAATTATAACGGCCAGGAATCTAGAATCACATTCCTCCAAAAAATGGTCATGAGGGGAAAAAAGCCACTGACAACCCAGGCGTCCAGGATGGGCTGTAACAAGAAGAGGGTAGGTGGGCAGAGCCGAAGACGGTGGCGCCGGCAGGAGATTCCTCCGGACAAACGACCTTCCCGGTTCTTACCCCAGGCTGGCTCGCGTGGCCTGGACCCCCGCTGTCACCGCTGGCCCACTCTGCCGCCCAGATTGCGGACCGGACACTGGCCGGGAACCTTTCCTGGCGAGCACCTGTCCTCCTGCACTTACCGAGGGAGCTGGGATCCATGGCCGACCCTGCTGCCGAGGTCCGGGGCGCGATCGCGGGGCCGGGCGCCCAGTCAATGTGGAAGCCGCGGTCGCACCCGGAGCGAGCCGCCCTCTGCGGAGGGACCGCAGCCCTTCAGCGCCCCCTCCCCAAGAGCGCGGGGACCGACAGCCGGCGGCACCAATGCGCGCGCCGCGGGCGGGCGCGGGGCGGGGCCAGGGCCGGGGGCGGGCACCAGGGGGGCCACCTGCGAGCTGCCTGCCCCGCCGCGTGGGAGCCCAGCGGCGTGCTCGGAGCCCGGGCGCAAGCCCCGCAGCGCTGCCACATCCGGGCACGGGCGGGGGACCACCGAGAGAGAGCCGGGAGGTGGGGAGGCCAGGGCAGTGAGCTCTGGATTTTACGAGAGACGTGAAGTAGCAAAATCCAGTTTTAAATTAGGGGCATTCCCATTTTAAATCCATCCCATCTCACCCCGAATATTTAAAGACAGCGCAGTTACCACAATTGAAAAGTAGGATTCAAAACTGTAGAGTGAGCTCTCATTTGCTTGAAGAGAAAATTACATATATATATATTGAAACAGAAAAAGGCAAAACTTGCCCAGGAGTGGGTTTGTGTATAATGAGGTTCTCATGGTCCATTATCAAATAGACTAGTGGGCGGGTAAAGTTGATGTGACCTGGGCCCTTAGAACTCTGTAGTCTGCAGAAACTATCACATCCACGGAGATAAGGTCAGAAGAGCACCGGACCCAAGACCCCATCCACCTTTTACACATGATATAGTTCCCCAAATTGAGATAACTTATGACGTTTCCGTTCAGGCCAGTCCTAGATGCCTCCTTAACCTGCTGCCTCTCAATTAAAGGGAACTGGAAAGCAGCAGGCCTCACAATTGCAATTCCAGCAGCAGGCAACATCTACCCACCCAAGGTGCTAATCCTGTTTACTGTAAACTTCCTGAACTTTAATGGTCTTATAGATCTTTTTCTGTTTTTCTTAAAACAAACAAACAAACAAATGGGGCCTCCCTGGTGGCACAAGGGGTTAAAACGCAACCTATGAAGCTATATGCAGCCACTGCAGCAGGAGTTCAATCCCTGGCCAGGGAGCTACCCACACGGCGCAGCAGACCTCTCCTGACTCCACCCATGCTCCCCTCAGCAGTGTATTTCAGTCAATCTGTCCTGTTTCCCACTCTGTCTCTGGTGAATCCTCTCACCACCCCCCACACCTCTGGCCTGTACCCCAGTTCTTGTATGCATAAATAAATAAATCTTTAAAAAAAAAAACACCTCAAAGGGAACTGAAAGTCAGTTTAAGGTAAAATGTAAGTTGATTTGTATTTGAAGGGCAGATTTAAGATATATTATAAAAACTCATCCCCACTCTTCACCTCTCCCTGAGTACAGTTCTATAAATAAAATGCTGCACTGTGGTTTTTCTTTAGGATGTGACTAGAACCCAATGCCACATCTGAGTTTTAAGAAATGTATCCAGTACCTCATGCATAAAAGAAACCTGTCATTCCTGAACTCAGTTAAGTGAATTAGACTGTTTTAGCTATTACCCATATCATTGTCTGCTACCGTTAGTAGCTTTTCATTATATAATGAGACAATCTATAAATATATCTCTTCAATCTCATGAGAAATTATTCTACCCACAGCTTATCTTGTTAATATCACCCGATACTGTGTGCCAATAAAATAGCTTGCATATTAACTGAACTCATATTTATCTGATCTCTCCTGATCATACCACTTCTTCCCTCCTGGTCCCTATCTACCCACTGCCTGGGTCTGTAGCTACCAAATATGGTTTATATTTCCTTGGTAATAATTCTTACATTGTAGAGACCTCCATCCCCCTTCCCTTGTATACCATTATGTGAACCTGTGTTTCCAGTTCGCAAATGGAAGTGGTCAATGTTGGAAGATAGGAGGAAAAGGGAGGGGAAAATGAAGAGGAAGAACAGAGATGGAAGATAAAAAAGAAAGAAGAGAAATAACATCCTATAGGGGTGTTCACAGAGCCTGGACACACAGAGAAGCTCAATAAACATTTGCTCAATCAACACAGCAGAACCAACAGATCTTTTAGTTCAGAGTTCTACAACCATCCTTCCTGAAAACTTTAAATAAAAAACACTAGAGCTGGGACAGAAAAGGGAATTCCAAGAAATTCACAACAAAAACCTGCAGAAGCAATACTTTCTCAGATTAAAAAAATTAAAAAAAAAAAAATCAAACAACAGAAAGGTATATGAACAACAGAAAGGCACTTAGGTCTCTCCTGATTATATGTTCTTCCCAAAAAAGGCAATCATGCCCCCACACCCCCATTTAAACACAACAGTGTCATAAAGTACATACTGCAACTTGTTTCTTCAGCCCCAGAGGTCTACCTGGCAAATGGGTTCCCAAAGGGTGACAGAGATATTCCAGTCCAGGTCGCTAACACTACAGTTTATACTTAAAACACTTATAGCAAAATTATTTCCTTTTATTCTGTGGAACTTCAGTAAATAGAAATGTGCATGATTTATATTAATTTGTTCATGATAATGGAAATTAAGATTGTAGGAAGGTTTCCGGGGTAACTCCCACTATTTATTCCAGTAGATCATCAGGACAAGGGCCAGTTTCTCCTGACTTCTCCATACTTCCTAACTGACAGTAGGCCTGGTCAAATTGTCAAAGTAGTTTCTTGAAAATGGAGAATCTGGAGAGGAAAAGAAACAAGAGCTAAGTGTTTGTGGTAAGCGCCAAAATGTCTCCACTTCCCCTCCACACTGCACCTTTTCTCTCTCCCACTGCCAGAGCTGCTAACGTTTACATCCTTCCCCAAGCCAACTCTTCCAGTGTCTTTCCACTGACTTAAAAGTGCAGCCTTTACACTGTGGTTATGTGACCACCATTCAAGGCCAGACCAAGCATGAGCCAGGACAGCACTTTCCCATGTCTCATGCACAGGAAGGACAGTGGCCCCAGCACCAGCAGTCTCTCTTCTTACTGTCCATATACTCACTTCCACCTGGACCTTTAATTTCTTAATGCAAGAGCTTTCATTTTGCATTATTACCCTTTGACACCCCTCTTTCCTAATTCTTTCTAGTCTTTCTCAAGCCCTTGCTTCTCCAGTTTCAACTGGATTTGCAACTCTAGGTCTCCTGCAGTTGTCAGGATATCCCTTCATAATTCTCAGACCAGGATTTGCCTTTCTGAAAACCATACCTTCCTTCTGCTTGATTATACCTCATTCAGTTGGAGCACACTGCTCCATGCCTCCCTAGGGAGAGGTGCGGGTGGCAAACCTGTATGTCTGAAAACATCTGGATAGATTTGGTATCATGTACATGCAGGTGGAAAGTCATCTTCCCCTGTGAAGTCAGAGGTTATTCCTTCATTGTCTAAAAGCCTCTTATTGCTAATGTCATTTTTTCTTTTCTAGAGGAGGATTTTAGGATTTTCACCTCTCGTGCTTTTGAAATTTCAACTGGCTGTGTCTGGGTATGGCTCATTCACTGTGCTGAGTACCTGGGGGCCTTCCGCCTAGGATCCCAGTAATTCCTGGCTGGTTCTGTTTCCTTCTCTATTCTACTTTCTGAGGCATTTACTCAACTTTTGTCTTCCAACTATCTATGTAGAGTAGACAGACCATCCGTTCCTACCTCCTCTGCAGTCCCTCACCGTTCGTTAGCTGGCACCTTTCTCCCTATACTGCCAGCCCGTGACAAGTCATGCTCTTTTTCCAAGAACATGTTGAAATATAAGTATTTATTGTTACTGCCAACTCTCATTACTCCCCCCACACCCCCCCTGGAAAGGAATGTTTTGAAAGTATTAAAATTTGCATTAGGGACTGATGGTGGTGCAAGGGGTTAAGTGTCAGCACTGTCAAGCTATCCGCAGCCACTGCAGCATGAGTTCGATCCCTGGCCAGGAAGCTAATCTACATGGTGCAGCAGACCTCTCCTGTCTTGCCCGCTGTTCCCCTCAGCACTGTATTTCAGTTAATCTGCCTGTTCTGCTCTCCACTCTGTCTCTGGTGAATCCTCTCACCCCCTCACACCACTGGCCTACACCCCAGCCCTTGTATGCATAAATAAATCTTAAGAAAAAAATAAAATTTGCATTACAAAATATAAAATAAAATTTGCATTTTCATAGCTAAAGCTGGGGTCCTAGAATTCATAAATATGCTTCATAAGAAAAAAGGGCAAAATTCTCACTAGTAATAACTTACCTGTTTAGAACAGTCCATTCACCTGTTCGGTGGCAGGGTCTAAATCGATATCATAGAAACAAGGCCGGGTAGGGAGTCCAGGCATTGTGCTCATCTGGAAGATGTAAAATAGTATTGAAAATAAACTTAAAGTGATCTTTTCTTCCATTTTCCCCTCAAATAGACAACGGCAGATTATCTTACAGTTGTTAATAAAGGAGTTCTTCCTGTTACACATTAGAAATCAAGTCTGTTATGACCTCAAAGGTAAACCCTCATCTTTCAGCAAACCACACACGAGACTTTACCATCACCTTCTGTGCTGACAGCTGCACAAACAGGAAGTAGCGGGAGGTGTTTCTACCTTCCTCCTACAATGGCAGGTGCCAGGAGGCTGAGGACTCTGTTCTTTACCTCCTCAGCGCTCACTTCACAAGGCCAAAAGGAGGTGCAAGGTTTACTTTGCTCTTAATTTGTTTTAATGAATTGTGAATAGATTCCCACATCATTTTCACTTCAGCAACACATTAGGAATTGGTGTCCTCTAATGTGAACCAACACATTTCTGTACATAACCTAGATGGTTTCAAAGCTACTACTCTAACCAGTCCAACTGGGCCTTCTAAACTGAACTTGCAATGCTTCTCTCCTTAACTCGGCTTTGCCAACATCTACTTAGATGCAAATTCGTAAGGCTTATTGAACTGGGTGTATTTTTATCTGTAACAATGTCCTGTATGAATACCTTCAAGTTCTAAATCACATCCAGACAGGAAAGCAGTTTAAGTTGAACTTCTACAATTGAACTATGAGAATGTTATAGAAAAGGATGAGTCACTGTCTGTCACACAAGCCATCTGTACTTTAGGAAGCCTAATTCTGACATCTGAGTGCCAATCAGCCCTCCCCAGGGTATACTAAAGGGACTTGACATTGGTTTCTATCTTCCAATTCTTTAAGAAATAAGCAACTGCTAGGTGTGGGGACAAGTGAGGGAAAGGAAAGGGCTCCTTCTCAGACCGAGTCAAAAGCCTAAAGATGACACAATAAAGAAAATGACGTGTGCCCAGAGGTGAGCATATGCATGTGAGCAAAACACTCTAAAGACGGTTCCCAAAACAGTGATTGGCAGGGTTTTTGGTACTTTTATCCTTTCCCAAAGAAAACATTTACCCCTAAATGTTGGTCATATTGATAATGAGAAAAATTTTTTAAATGAAAAGATTATGTGTACACACACTTATGAACTTAGACATAAGACTCTGGAAAGCAGCTTTCACACCTGAAATTAATACACAAAACACTCAAAGCCTCTGAGCCCAGTTCAGGCCCCAACAGAATTAGAAGGTGTTTATTAGAGTAATAGTGATTGCTAAGTCATCTAGATCTTATGTGGAAATGTCTTGGTCCACAGTGGCTTCTGACACGAGACTTTGTTCTAGTTGAGAAAGTCTTGAGCCGGGCAGGCCGTTCCTTTCCTATTACAGGCAGACACACTGGCCTCACACTTTCAGTTTTGCTTCCATCTCACCACTTTGCTTGCACATGTCAAAAACACAGAGTACGGCTATTTCAGCTGATAGCTGCTGACAAGTTCTCCAGAAAGAACATGTATTTCTGCAATAATTAAGGTAGTGGGTAAATAGTTTAACATTCCTAGTAAAAGGGATGCAGAATTGAGGCTAGACATGGAGGGAGGGGGCGATGGGAGCAAAAGGGGTGGAGAAACCAATAGACTATGGTGCAGGATGATTTGGGCTTTGGTGGTGGGTGTGCTATGATTACATACATTTGTAGAGGTGTGACTCATACTCTGAAAGCATAGTGTCGTAAACCAATGTTGCCTCAATAAACATAAATACATTAATTAACTTTTTAAAAAAAGGAATGCCCACAAATTCCAAGGGCAATGAACATCCCAACAATGTAAAGCTCCTGTTCTCTAGGGTAGCCGGGGCATGGGGCTGTATACCGCTGCCTGACCTTCACTCAAGGTCACACTGCCTCTGGGAAACAGAATGGCCATTCTGATCACATAAGCTCTTATGGCATCATCTTGAACTGTCATCCCGATTGGCCTCAGCAAGGGGGTTTAATCCGAACACGCCTGACTCCAACCTTCTCCTCAGCAACGAACACTGCTCATTTGGCAAGTGCTCCATGGCATCAGGAACAAATTGCAGAGGAGCAGCACAGATGAACAAGCACCCCTTCCCCGCTTGCAGCACTCACTTACCGTTCCTACCAGGGGGTAGAGAAAACCAGCCCCGACACTGGCACGGATGTCACGAATGGGCAGGACAAAGCCTGTAGGCACACCTTTTTGCTCTGGATTATGAGACAAGGACAAGTGTGTTTTGGCCATGCAGATGGGCAGATTCCCAAAGCCCTGGGGGGAAAGAAGGGGACAGAAGTAGAACAAATGAATAGCTGTCAATGCAATAAGGAACATCTGGCATTGTGATGTTAGTGACTCTTCATGTGAAATAGCTCACTCTCTTTATATCCACTGCTATCTCACTGTCTTCCGCTTAGTACTGGAGTATTTTTCCTAAGGCTCTCTGATGGATGAGGGAAGTAAGTACCCACAGCCACAAGTGTTTCACAGTGACAGGTCATTTTCATCTATATAACCAATTTAAAATGATAGACTGGAACAGATGTGAAGATACAGCTGAGGGCAGGGTCTCAAGATTTTAGTACAGTATGCCCCTATTTCCTCTACATACCACTCAGCAATAAAGAACTTGGGACTGATCCACCTGATTCAAACTCAGTATTTCAGAGGACAAGGGTTGTTGCCCAGGAGTGAAGTGGTAGGTGCCTGGCAGGACTGACAGAACTCGGGGTTCTAACTCCAACATCTGCTTTGTAGAGTTGAAAGGACAAACCACCCGCTTACCTGCTTTGTGTAGACTTCAGCTTTGTGCTGAGCCTCGGGGAGCAGTTCGATGTCGTCTGCTCCATAGATCTTCTGCGCAATGATCCGAATTTTATCCTCAATTGGGAGCTAGTACACAGTAGAGAGAGAGGAGAACAGGGCATGAGGAGATTTGCCAAGGACATGGCTGCATTCCAGTCAGTGTCCCCAAAGGGATCAGAAGGTGTTCCCACACACACTACAGATATGCAAATAGTTTGAGGCTTATGCAATAAGAAACATTCTTTTAATGTTTCTCAGATTTTATAAGTAGAAAATGTTCCTAGCAAAGTTACTATATATATATGTATACATATATTTAAGACCTCATTTGGCACATCAGAAACAATATTGGTGACTGCCCAAGGACAAGTCTTTCTTCATAAATAAAAAGTAATGTTCTTAAAGTAATGGAGTCAGTCTCACGTAAAACCAGATCTGGTGTACTGTTTGTGAAACAAAGACAACTGATAGTCATCCACATAACCCCCAGTTCACATGAGAGGCAGATGCTGCAGTTAACACAACATATTGTTAATTGCTGTTCCTTAGAAACAGTCATAAAAACAAAATCACCTACATATTGAAGACAACCCAGTGACTAATATGACAACTCATGCTGGGGACAGTGTGAGAGGATACAATTTTTGTGGCACCTGCAGCACAGAGCACAGCAGCAAGAGCAAGAGGCCAGTGTCTCACCATTGAGGCTTCTGACTAGGGAAGTGTGAGGGCTGCTTCCTTCTGGGCAAAGCTTCCAGAAAAGAGGGGCCTGGTTTCTTACAAGCTCTTGCAGCCTAGTTTGGGGCGCCAGGATTCAGAGCAAACAAGAGGGAAAGACTGTGTAAAGGAAATAGGCAGCAAAACTACTCACAGGTAACTTGGATGAGCAAATTATTCAGATTAGGACTATGATTCTCTACTTCCCAGCAATGAGGCTAAGAAAGCATACTGGGCAAGTTTTGTATTTTGAAAGGAAGACTAATCATTCCATATAAAAATAAAAATTCCCATTGGAGCTAAATAGTGATCATTTGTGATGGGGATTTGTATAATGGACGGAATAAATGATGACTCAATTATGGCTTTATAAGGATATAACAGAGATTATGTTGACGTGCTTCTTCTAACTGGCACTTTAAAAGTGCCAAGGCACATTCAGAGCTTCTGAAGCAAAAGTACTTTCGTTGGGGGGTGATTTAAGACCAACAGATGCTGAATAAGACAAGAAGTAGCAGCCTCCTGTTTCTCAGAACAGAGAAAACTTTTGAGTAGAAATGGATTCCAAAGTCCTTATTATGCTACTTCTTCTAGGTTTCCTGCTGCTTTTAAGAACTGGGCTTTCTAACTTAGGCACCAGGGGTAAAGAGTTGGGGAGGATGTCTAGGAATGCTTTGCATTTGTGTGCAAATTTGTGTTTATGACATTTCTTAAAAAGATGATTGAGTGAGCAGATTTTCAAACCAGTCTATAAAACTGTCAACAGGAGAATGTAAACAGAACTGTCAGTGTATCATGTCTGCAAGAGGCAAAGGCAAATAAGAGAAAGTTAAAATCAAGAGTAATAGGGTTTCTTCCTTCTACCTCCTCAGAATTATTTTTTAGTCTATGGTTATCTTCAGAAAACCAAGCCAGAAAACAGACTAGCAAATACAAATAGAATTAGCCGCTACATAAAATCCATGTGCCTAACAAAGTTTCCAATTGTTGTGGGCATACAACCTAATGTCCAGTCATGTCTCAAAATATATGGGACAGAGCACTGGAAAAAAAAAAAAAAACCAACAACCCTGCAATAAGAACAACCTTTCTCTGAACTAACTTTATTGCATTTCCAAATAAGCTTCTATTGGAGCAAATGTAATATAAATTACTCAGTGATAGAAAGAAAGCAGAAGCTGGCTGGGTGCTTTGCTTTTCCATCTGAGGACTTCTTTGAACTTGAGGCAGCTCTGTATCAGGAAGTGAGCTTAGAAGCTCACCGCTTTCCCCGATTACTGGGGAGTATTCAGAAAACTCTTCTGAGCTTGATGTAGCCCCTTGCCAACTTGCTCTAACATGGGAGGTGGCTTGGGTTAAAGCAAGGATGTCTGCCAACTTCCCAGGGGCATTCTTGGCTAGAGCCCCTGCTCTGTAAATAAGCAGTGAGTGTAGGTAAGAAAACTGTCTAGGGTTGAATCCAGGCTGTCGTCATGTAACCCAGTTACATGAGAATCAAACCCACACGGTTGAACTGAAGCTGCTAAACTCAGGGCTCTAAACAGGCAAATACACAGAAAGCGCAATGTGCTTTTTTAAAAAACAAACAAACAAACAAACAACAGGAAGCCTACCTTGAGATCATAAAGGAGCTGGAATTTGCTGGGTGCCAGAGCTGCTCTCTGGACAGCCTGGGCCAGGGCCAAGGCCCCCTTCCCTCCTTCTGCCCAGTGAGTGCATTTCACGGCATCAAAAGCCCCATGTTCTTTGGCAAGACGGCTGACGAGGTCCAGTTCGGTGTCAGTATCTGTCCTATAAGGCAGTGCTTCATGTTAAAGCATTGATGATGGCAAGGAGGACAGACTCTGTCTTGTTTAGCCATTAAAACCCTTGTGAATCACCCACTGATAAAAAGACACTGAGCTGTAGTAGAGTCTGGGTTTGAATACTGGCTCCACCGCTGGCTGGCTGGCAATTACCCAAATGATACGTGCCTTGATTTCCACAGAGGTGTATTGGGGATAACCATACCACTTATTTCATTGGGATGCCCCAGGCTCAAGATGGTCCATACATGCAAAGTACTTCGATCATTCCAAGCATAGCATCAGGAATCGATAAATACCAGCTTTAAAAAAATTTTTCTTCCCATTTTGCTGTGGCTAAACTATAAGAACAATATCAAAACCAGCACTGACAATACCTAAACAACCCACGCAAGTTCTCTTTCTGAAACACCTCCAGCTCAATACGTTCAACTCTTTGTCAAGACAACATCCCACCAGACCTAGTGAAATAATGTAGGGCTGTGATCTTCTGTTAGCATAAAAGGCCTCTAGAGACCAAAAAAGAACATTTAACTTCAGGCCTGTGTGCCATCCACTTCATCTGGTAGAGAAGGGTCCCCCAGGGGACTCAGTTCTGACTTTAGACTGTCAAAGGGGGAGGGGAAGAGTTTGCTGTGACATAGCTGGTGGCTGTCACATCGCAGGATGGCTGCTACAGCACAGGCTTAATGATCAATGGCAGTAACTGAAGAACAAAATAAAAGCTGAAAGCAGCGTGGTACAATTAGCTCCAGGAGATGGTTTCTGAGGAGTTTCCATGTTCCGCCTTGATGCCTACACTTTGTACTTACTTGAATGCATTCACAGCAACTACTACTGGAACCCCAAATATTCTGGCATTTTCAATTTGTTTCCTCAAGTTACTGAAGCCTTTTTCAACCAACTCCAGGTTCTGTAAAAATAGGAAAGATCTGCGAGGTCATAGAGAGCTGAGCTGCAAACAGGTGCAGGTTGTGCTTCAAGGGGAAACTGTCTCCTTGAGCCAGTGGCCATGCACTGTCAGAACAAGCCATGGGGGAAGACCCACCCCCGTGAGTGGGGGCTGTGGAGCCTTTAACTCAGGCTGAGCGCTGTGTCATCGCACAAGATCTTAATAGCTTACTTGCTAGTTCAAGGAAATCGGATAAGTCTATTTACAGTCCCTGTGTTTATAGATTTTATGCCCTCATATGGCACAAGGGTGCAAACTGACTCTACTCAGCATCGCACAGAACCTTCCATCAGAAGAGAGCTTCACACGGTGCCTACCCTTCATTACACAGTGGCCATAAGTACTAGCAAAAGGCTTGAAGTCATCAGTGATGCTTCAACGGTTTTAAATACCAATCATGAAACTTTACTAGGGATAACAGAAAATAAGATAAATGCTATCTTCAAGAACCAAATACTAAGAAATTTAAAGGAAAGTAAGAAAAATACATTAAATATTTTTACTGCAACACTGGAAACTGCATACAGTGCAAACCTCCTTCTACAGGGTCAGTGAATGAGGATATATGCACTCAGTGACCATGCAGATACAAAAAGTGATATAATCTGTATTAACATAGAACCTGTCAATGATGTACTAAAGTTGCAAAACTCTGGAAAGCTTAACTAATTCTATTTTTGGACAAATACAAAAATACATGGGTATAGTCATGAATTTTTTTTAAATGTTGAGAAGTAGGAGCTAAACACTTAAAAGGACTCAAATCATATATTCTTGCAATGCTTAATTTTTCTTTTGCAAAGGTATTTTACCCTTACAAGCTGAAAAATACATTAAATATTAAAAAAATGAAAACGTAACAGTCTTAAATAAAAATATATACACTGAATTATGAGCAAAACCCAAGCAGTAATAAAGCTTAGTCTGTGGATTCCACAAAACAGTGAAAGGTAACCTAAAGGCAGAAAACAACTGAGATCATTATAAACAAGCTTCATGTTTTTCCTCTTGAATAACTGAAAACTAAGTTTAGGATTTAGTTGCTTTTCTACAGAGCACTGCTAAGTCGTTACCTTTCATCACATGAAACCAATTAATATGTAAGACTGATTGAGAACAGTTTTAAATAAGTAGAATTTCTAAATGAAGACGCCAGCTGGGCCAGTTAGGGGCAGTCACTCTAATTAGACACAGGAAAGGCTGTGGGGTGGCAGGAGGGCCAGAACTGTGAATTCCCCTCCTACGCGTGATTCAGACAAATGACCATAAAAGGCAAATCATAGCTCATAAGACAAGCAGACTCAAGGCAGCTATGATTCTTTTCTAGCTGTTTCAGAAATACTTCATTTGGGCCCTGAACAGTGACCCTGTATTGCTTAACATTTTAAAAGCCTCTCAAAAAAGGCAGGAGAATTGAATTAACAACGACAGCAGCTGACCTTACCATATCATTCGAGGACCTCTCCCTCATATATTCAACCCGGGCTGGTTCTAAAATGTTTCTTTGGTAGTAAACTATGAAATAATAATAAACTATGAACTTTGGTAATAAACTATGAAAAGGCTAGAGCTCACAAATTCCTTGAGCTCCTGCTTGATGCTAGAAACCATATCAGTTTATGGGAGCTTTGCCTAGAAAATAACTAGGATGCTGGTAATATCCTGGCCCTTTAATATGGATTTGAATCTCCAGAGGAAAAGGTCCCCAGTTGCTTCCATCTGAATGGCATTCGGAATCAATCAGCCAATGCAGGGAAGATAATGGAAGGAAACTTCCACGAGGTCAGTACAGGGTTTGTCAGCATCGTGGGCCTAATAATTCTTTGCAGTGGGGGCTGTCTTGCAAATGTAGAATGTTCAGCAGCATCTCTGGTTGTTACCCTAGACGTCAGAAGCATTACCGACCCCAAGTTGTAAAAATAAAAAAAATATCTCTAGACATTACCAAAGGTCCCTAGGGGCAAACAGGTTCAGAAGTAACTAAGGTCTAGGGCAGTGATTGTACCGACATCTTACATGGGGTAATTTGCTTATATAAGATATACTTTATCTGTATTTCATTAAACAATTCTTCAGCACACTTCAAATCTTTTCATATCTTTTCCTCTCAGGAGCAATTATAGAGCTACCCCAACTGATTCAAATGAACGGGGCGGGGAAACAATGATTCGGGGTGTGGTGCTTTCTAGGACAATAAGTAGAAATGATTGACATTACCTCCTCGATGTAAGCCTTAGGAAGAGGCAGTCCAGCAGTAACCTGGAAGGAATGAAAGCAAAGTCAGGGGCACTTTCTATTTACAATTAGATTTTAGATTAATATGATGCTTGCGTGTTTAAAGGCCAGAAGTCAAATGCAGTTTAAGGCTGTTTCCTGCCTTAAGGACATAGGACAGCAAAAAACAAAAGCCTGCTTTGAACAGAGTGGGACAGCTTTGGAGGGCCTAAAATCAAGGAGTTAAGAGGGATGACTCAAAGAAGGCCCGGGGAAAGGAGGCCTTTGGCAAGGGCAATGACCCCAGCGAGTAAAGCAAGCAGCAGTGGTTTGCAAGTAAAGGTGAGTGTTGGGGAAAAGGCAGCTCGGAGTCTATGACAAGCCCTGTGATGGGTTCATGAGCTCGTCCACACAGCCAGCCCACGCCTTTGTGGTGCTGAACTGGGGTACATGAGCAACACAAATAGGAAGGAAACAACCAATGGATTTTCTTTCTCTATCAGAGAGCATATTTGCAGGAGTGAGAATACTTAACCAGTACATTCACTGTTATGCAGGTCTTAGGGGGCTTGGTCCTGCCACACCTATAGGAACGAATATGGGTGTGTGGGTGTGTGGGGTGGGGAAGACACTGACTCCATGGACTCCACTTTGGGCAACTGACAGTGACTAAGAAGCCTGCAACTTGGTCCACTCCCCTTCTCAGGGAGACTGTGGTGCTCCAATCCAAAAGGGGCTGCAGAGAAGCAGGGCAGAAGCAGGGACCTTAGTCCCCACAATCTGAGCCTCATACATGGCTCCACAAGGGAACGTGAGCATCAGGGGTAGCTCCTGGAGCGAGTTGTTTGTGTAAAGCCCTCCTCTTGGGGCTGCACAGGTTAAGTGTCTTCATTATTATTTTTTAGACCATGAGGTCAGGAGTAAAGCAGGAAAGGAGATATGATGGTGTGAGGATTAGTGGGGGGTGCAAAAGAGGGAATGTTACTTATGATCAGGAAAAAAATGTCTCCTGAACTACGAGCAGCAAGGGGTACCCCAGGTCAGTGCTTCTGGCTCCTTGGGAATCAGTAAGACTGGAGAGTAGGGCCAGGCTGGGCTGGGGTTGTGTAACAGCAGTGGTTTTCACAGCATGGTCTGGAAGTACAGGGTCAAGACTATGTCCATAATGACACTAAGATCTTCTGGCCCGTTTTACTTTCATTGAATACACAATGGACTTTCCCAAAGATTACAACATTGATGCCACAACAGACTGAATACAGACGATTAGAATACAGAGGTCTTCAATTAAGTGAGATAAGAAGAGGTCTGAAAAATGTACACTGCCAAAATTCTGACTAACGTTTCATTTTTAAAAAAAAATGTTGTGTTAATATGTAAACTGTTTTAATTTCTTTTATGGCAAGTATTGGGAACAAAAGCTCTTTCAGGCCCTCCATAAGTTTTAAAAGTATAAAGTCTTGAGACCAAAATGTTTGAGGATGGCTATCTTAGGAAAAACCTTGATCACTAGCACACTAAGAAACACTGGTCTTGTTCTGAAGGTGAGGGAGGTCTTACTTCCCAGGTTACAGACTGGCTTCCAGGGGGGATAGGGATCTAGTATTTCCTCAAACAGTTTCTTTTTATTAAAGATTTATCCATTTATTTATACAAGAACTGGGGTATGGGCCAGATGCACGGGAGGGTGAGAGGATTCACCAGACAGAGCGGGGAACAGAACAGGCAGACTGACGAAACACACTGCTGAGGGGAGCAGCGGGCGCAACAGGAGAGGTCTGCCACGCCATGTAGGACCCTCACCGGCTGGCCGGGATTGAACCGGCGCTGCAGAGGCTGTGGACAGCTCCACAGCACTGCGCTCAACTGCCTGTGCCACCAGGGGAGGCCCCTCAAACAGTTTCTAAAAGGTAGCACCATGTCTTTACATACAGATGTGGAAGAAAGAGTCTTAAAATAGTAGATCAAAAAGTGCAATTTCTAAGCAGCAGGAATTCAGGAAAACAGCTGGGTTGGAGATGCAGATAAACTTGTCCTAAAACCTCAGTGTAGGGCCTCCCCGGTGGCGCAGCGGTTGAGCGCTGGGTTGCGAGGCTACTGGCGACCTCTGCGACGCCGGTTCGATCCCCGGCTGCTCCCCGGCCACCGGAGGAGGGTCCCACATGGCGCGCAGACCTCTCCTGCCGCCCGCTGCTCCCCTCAGCAGTGTACTTCGGTCCTTCTGCCTGCTCTGCTCCCCGCTCTGGCTCTGGTGAATTCTCTCACCCACCCGCGCTTCTGACTGTGCCCAGTGCATGTATAAACAAAATGAACAAACAAACAAACAAATAAATAAATAAAACATGCCTCTATAAAAAAAAAAAAAATAAAAAATAAAACCTCAGTGTATCTGGCACCTGGAGGTAGCCCCGAGCATCCCTTCCCCTCGCCCCAGGCTTCTAGGGGTTCTGTCCGGCATGCCCCATTCAGGAAGGGGCTAACCTCTGTCTCAGCTAAATTGTTTGGTTGTTTGGCTGCCAGTGCCACTATTTAGAGGGAAAAGGTGACTCAGATTTAAATGGAATGATCTTTGCATAAAGGATTATTTTTTGTGGATACAGGCAAGCATATGTGCATGGGGCAAGTTAGATGTTACCAGATGAAGCCAATTTGGCTCTCTTGGAAAGCTGAGCCAAAAGCTGCCTGAACACCGCTTGTTTGGGGCACCTATTTGTCACAAGGATAGGGCAGCTTGATGAAGACACAGGCACAAGCCACACACCTTCCTTTCAGCCTTCAGAAAATTCTCAAAATTGATCTCCTCCACTCTTGATGCTTACCGTGGGGCCACCACCATGCATTTTCAGGGCCCTGACAGTAGCAACAAGCACCACCACGTGAGGGCGAAGACCAGAATATCGGCATTTGATGTTAAAAAACTTTTCCATTCCAATGTCTGCTCCGAATCCTGCCTCTGTCACTGTAGGGAAGGAGAAAAGCAACTATAAAAATGGCATCTGACTTTTTGATGTTGGAGGGAGCACTTGGCCTATGCATTCACTTTGTAAAAACACTCACCTACAAACCCTTCGGGGCCAACAAGCTTGAGTGCAATACGGTCTGCAATGATGGAGGAATTCCCGTGCGCAATGTTAGCAAATGGCCCAGCGTGAACGAACACCGGTGTGCCCTGTGCAAGACACGATCGAGCTGCCAACCCCACTTCAAAGTGGGATCACACAGGCCCAAGTACAAAAGAGAGCTGGAATCCCAAAGACTCCCCAGAGGGAAAAGATTGAGCAGCCCCTTTAATATTTTAGTAATGTCACTGTCACTCTGTGGGGAAGAATGGGAAGAAAGAGGTGAGCAGGTGGAGGTCTCTGATTCCCCAAGGAAAGCGTGCTTTACAGCCACTCTACTCTGGATGTGGAAACCCAGCCCAGGACGCGGTCACCACTCACCTCTAATGTCTGCATGAGATTGGGCTTGATGGCGTCCTTCATGAGCACGGTCAGCGCACCACTCACTCCCTGCAAAACAAAGGCGCGAAGCGTCAGTTCCCACCAGCAAGAAACCCAACTTCTTTGAAACCAAAACTCAACAGGGTTTTCCTTTTTCAGCCATCCTGGACCCATTAGTACTTTCACCTGAACTGGAATAGTCACATGTTTACTTTTTTTTGTAGCTATAGCTACAATTATTTTTAGGAGGGAGAACATACAGCATGGAAATGGAAATGACTTTCACATATAATTTCTGAAACAAGCATTTCAGTTAAGTTCTGTTACTCAGGGGTGGAGGAAATTCAACTTAGCCTAGTTTACAGCATCGAAGAGCTGATTCCTAGAGTACAGACTATAGTAACTTTGTGTCTAGATTCAACATGTGTTTCCCAAAGCTGAAAGTGAAAATTTAACCCAAGAGTTCAATATCAACTCTTAAATAACTAGTAACAAAGTAAGGTAAAGCTAGGGATCCCAATTATTTTGGTATATGTCAACATAAACAGGGGTTTAAAAAACTAATCTAGTTCCTGCCCTCTGTGACTATGCAGATGCCTCTTTTTCTTTCTCCTTATCCTAATAAACCTGTCCTTTTAAAATGTTGAAAATTAATCCATAAGATTACCTCATTTCCAACCTCATATTACCATGCAGAAAGTTCAGAAATAACACTGAAGTGGAAACCTAGTCTAGTAGGACCATTAGAGGAACTGGCCAGTGAGCTATCCCACACAGTGGACATGGTAGTCAACAGCCTCATGACAAGAGGCCTCTGGGCAGGGAGGTCTATCACTGAAGGAGTCAGGGTGTGACTCCAAGCTTGGCCTCTCGGGGTCTCCCTCTGACTCTCCATGTCCTCTGCACACGGAAGCCGTATGCTGCACTTGGCAATACACACAAGTTGAAGATGCTGCTAACCCACCTGTAGCTTTGTGGTCTATTATTGGAGCATGCCACCAATTACTCACTTGAAGAAGTTCCTATGAGTTGCACAACTATTTTGTAAATAGCAAAATCATATTGAATTTATTAGTTAATTCTAGCACTTTTAGTACAGCCTAGTTTTTGTTATGGGTAACCAGTGAGAAATCCCAGGACGACAGACCCAGGTGCATCACCCAGCCAGGGGTGTCTGGGTGCTCACCAGGTCTTCAGCACTGATGGGCTCCCCTTTCTTGCTGGAAGCCACCACCATTTTGCCCAGTCTCTCTCTCATGTCTTCCAGAGAACTGGTGAGAGCCAGCACAGCCATGATTTCACTGGCCACAGAGATATCAAACTGGGCCTGTTAGCAGGGAAAAGATAAAATGGGAAAAATGGCATTAAACCAGAAGCATGAATTACAAAATTAATCCTTATTTGTATTGGAGGCTTAAACAAATAGCTTTAAATGCTAGAACAACAACGGAGTGCACAAAAGATGTAGTGAAAATAATCCTCCAATAGCAAAAATTGGTAATTAATTATTCCAAGACTCTGAGTAGTTGTTTTTAAAAAAAATAAATGTTGTCATAGGGCCAACGGTCCCTACATCCAAGGATTCCCTAACATCTAAGGGAAGCAACACAGAAGCTTTGCACAGCTGGGACATAATGCAGAGTGGCCACAAAATAGATGCAATTTTCATCAATTTGCGTGCAAGGATATTCACTTAGGGCTCCCCACCTCCAGGAAAAAAAGCCAGGGAAAAACACACAGGTGACACATGGGATTTATGGCAAAAGCTGTCAGGAGTGCTCAATACCACACACCTACTCACTTCCATTTTAAAAGGGAGAAGGCAGAACAACACCTGGCAGTAGCAATCGAATGGGAGAGGCTGGAGGAGGATAGAAGAAGCAAGGATCTGGTTCCTGTGAACTAATTTACTTAAAAAGGAACAAATAGTTACCGTCCGCGTGTACCCTTTCTCTGTTGGAGCCTGTCCAATTGTGATCTTCCTCAGGAATCTATCATTGGTATCCAAAACTATGGTAGAATGGGAAGACACAGAATAATTTTTAGTAAAAGGACCATAAAGTCAAAGAACTGTAGAGTTTTAAAGCCACAATTCTAATTTAATGAGTATCTACTACTAACACATGATTTCCAAATCAGTTTCCAGGCAAACTGAAATATGGGTTAAAGTTAAGAAATGATGTCCACATAGCATAAATGTACAGGAATTATTTTGGAAGAAAGGAATATGGAATGGCTTGATTTTTATTCTGTCTTGAAAATTCAACCAACTAAAAATGGGGGCTCTGTTTTAAAGCATATTCCAAATCAAAGAAAAGCAGAGCAGGTCATAGTTTTTCCAAAGGTTGAGGTTTGTGATGTCACCTGGTGGGATGACTCACTGGCGGGCTCCATGCTGAGCAGCATAGAGCCATGAACGCAGGGCAAGGGCAGGTGCTTTTTGAAGCATGCTGGGCACAGCCCTGCTCTTTCCTTTAGCATGCTCAGAAGGAATGGTTTCCATTCCTTGAACAGCCTGTTTACATGACTGTACACCCTCGGAAAACATGGCAAAGATCAACCAACTAACCAACTTCAACTCCAACAACCAGGCCTAAATACTCCTACCACTTTAGTATACTCGCAGCTTTGCTTTTTGGATGATGAGCCAAATAAAAACAAGAAAACGCAAAATGAACAACAAACCAGGTCATCCTCTGAATGGGTCAAAGAAGAGCGGTACTTTTAAAGTACTCGAAAAAACATCGCTATGTTTCATAAAGATTGTACTAATTTCATCCCTCAAAACATTGTCTTAGGGCCTCCCTGGTGGTGTAGCGGGTTGAGCGCAGAGCTGTGAAGCTGTCCACAGTCTCTGCAGCATGAGTTCGATTCCTGGCCGGCCAGGGAGCTACCCATACGGCGCGGCAGACCTCTCCTGTCTCGCCTGCTGCTCCTCTCAGCAGTGCTTTCAGTTGTCTGCCTGTTCTGCTCCCTGCTCTGTCTTCTGGTGAATCCTCTTACCCTCCCATGCCTCTGGCTAGTACTCCAGTTCTTATACAAATAAATAAATCTTTAAAAAAACAACAAAAAGTGTCTTATATAGTACTCAGACAGACAGACAGATATACTCCCCATACTTGTAAGTAAAGGATGTAAACTGCTATTGGAGACCACCCCCATTTTTCAAAAAATCTAGAGTAAAGTTGTTGACTCTAATTTCTCTGTATTATATGATATACTTTTCCCCTGTCTGTTTTTACTCTTCTTAAAAAGCATGCATTAGACTTAAAGCAAAAGAAAAGTGAATGAGATAATGAATTTTCAAAATGGATTCTTCATTTGATTCTTCCTAAAATATCATACTGTCTAAGGCTATTAAAGTAAAGATAGAGCCTTTGTAATGTCTTTAGGGAGAAGAGCCACTGAGCCAAAGAAAATCATTAAAAAAGTTAATAAATTGGTCATTAGCTACATTCTGCATAACTGGATAAATATTCCTTCTCATGATGACACTCAACAACAACAAAGAAAATAATCCTGTCAAAAAATGGGCAGAAGAGCTAAAAAGAAACTTCTCTGAAGAGGAAATGCAAATGGCCAACAGGCATATGAAAAAATGTTCAACATCACTTGTAATCAGGGAAATGCAAATCAAAACTACCATGAGATACCATCTCACACCAGTGAGAATGGCACATATTAAAAAAACTAGCAACAACAAATGTTGGCGAGGGTGTGGAGAAAAAGGAACTCTTCTGCACTGTTGGTGGGAGTGCAAACTGGTCCAACCACTATGGAGAGCTGTGTGGAGATTTCTGGACCTACTAAACATAGAGCTTCCATATGATCCAGCAATTCCACTCCTAGGTATTTACCCAAAGGACACAGAAACATCAATTCCAAAGAGCACCTGCACCCCTATGTTTATAGCAGCACTGTTTACAATAGCTAAGCTTTGGAAACAGCCCAAATGCCCAAAAATAGATGACTGGATCAAGAAGATGTGGTACATATACACCATGGAATATTACTCAGCATTCAAAAAAGATAAACACATGCAATTTGCAGCAACATGGATGGCGCTGGAAGGGATTATGCTCAGTGAAATAAGCCAGAAAGAAAAAGAAAAATACCGGATGGTCTCACTCATAGCAGGAATCTAGAAAACTTAAATAAGGGACCAGGAAAATGAATAACTACAAGTGAAAATGAAAATCAACAAACAACTATGAACCAGAGACACTTTATGGGGGGCGGGGGGCAGAGGGATTGGGGTCAAAATAAGGGGGTTGCAATTGTATGGGGAATATAAAAATAAAATTTATTAAAACATAAATAAATAAAAAATAAAAAAAGGAAAAAAAAATTCCTTCTCAGCAGTGATACAGGATAAATGGATGCACCACTGGTATAAAATATAACTCTAAACCATGAATGTTATCCATAGAGAAAAGCAACATATGGCAGTAAAGTCAAGAAACTCACTAAATTGCTAAGTGTTTAAAATTGAAGGCTATCTATTTTATTATAAAAGAATTTAATAAAATGAAGTAAAAATGTGTAGGCAAGCTGGAAAGCTACAAGAAAAATCAAATTGCTTTTTGCCAGATATGAATTCAGAGAATAAAGGATAACATGATTCAAGAAGTGATTAAACATAATTTTTATACCTCATGACTTCAAAAGTTTTTGCATAAAATGAATTTTACAAAATGTTATTTTTAGTTTATGTATGAACTTCTTTGAAGCTATCATCACTCTAATCAACACCGGAAAAATTCCAACTAACCCAACAAAAAGTAGTTCAATTACAGGAGTGAGGTTGATACAGGTGGCCAGAAAAATGAATGTCACCAGCTTGGTTAGGCCTTAACCATGAAAATACCAACATCAAACTTCCGCACCTCACATTTTAACAACTCTTTTTTTTTTTTTTTAAAGATTTATTTATTTATGCATACAAGAGCTGGAGTGCAGGCCAGAGGTGCATAGGTGAGAGGATTCACCAGAGACAGAGTGGGGAGCAGAACAGGCAGATTGACTGAAATACACTGTTGAGGGGAGCAGCAGGTGAGACAGGAGAGGTCTGCTGTACCATGTGGGTTAGCTCCCTGATGGGGGATGGAACTCCTGCTGTAGTGACTATGGATAGCTTCAGAGTGCTGTGACTTAACCCCTTGTGCCACCAGGGAGGCCCACATTTTGAGAAGACTTATGAGAGGGGATGGGTGTGCAGTATAACCAAGACAATAGGCTGCACATACCTCTCTGCCAGGTTATAGTGTCTGGATCAATATCCAGCCTTGCAAATCTATTTATCTCTTCATCGGTAAGTGCGGCGGGATCGGTCTTTTCAATGCCCAATCTCTGAAGAGGTAGGAAAATTGAAACATAAAATAAGATGAAATACACAAAAGAATAATAAATTTTAAAAAATGTTTTAATCCCTATTTCCAGATAGTGTCCCCTTTAGAAAACAGAAACCATTTTAAGTTCAGAATAGAATCCCTTTGGCTAAACCTGGAGTTATTTCCTACTCCCAAGTGCACTAAGGTATTATTAACATGTTTGCCTCGATAGCACCACAAGTATTTCCCTAAGCCTAGCCCTAAATAACCATAGTAACCAAGCAGGGTTGTACCTAGTTCACCAAACCCAAATATAGTAAAAGGAAATGAAATATGCAAAGTTTTTTCAATCAGACAATTGAGAAGCACAATTCAAATTAAATATTTAGAAGAGTAAAAATAAATATCAATCAGTGTAAATCACTATTACATGCTTTTTATGTCACACTGTACTTTCACCACCCTCTCACTGTAAACAAAGACAGAAAGCGCTTGTCTTTTCCTCTTTACAGAACTTGACATTCTGTTTACTTACAGTGTATCCCTATCTGAGTAACGTCATGAAATGGAAAATGCCTAGCAAACATTCTTTTTTTCTAACTCCTGGTATATCTGAGTGGGCTCCAGCAAGCCCTACTCTTTTCACAGTTCCTTTCTTGTGCGATGAGGACTTTGTTTTAAAATTTCGGATGCGTTTTCAGAGCTGGTGCTTACTGGCTGATCAAATAGACTCTTAAGCCCAGAACATGACATTGTGTACAGAAGTCAGCAAAAGCCCTGGGCGCTAGGCTGAGAATCTGCTGTTGACAACCCACCCGTGGCTGAGCATTGGTGGGGCACAAAGAAGTAACTTGTGCAACAGTGTGTGTCTGGATAGCCAGGAAACAGGACACTGGGGTTCTAGTTCCAACCTGATGAGGGGTACTGTGACATTGGGCAAGTCCCTTGATTTCAAGTCCTAGAGCTTTTTGAGGACCATTTATATATTTAGTCAAGTTCGTCTCTACATCTCACAGAAAGTTCCATCAGCCTGCTCTTTCCACAGTACTTCTGAATATAACTTTTTTACAAAATATGGTAACAGTTGACTTGCCTTATGCATAGGATTTTGGGAGGGTGTGTAAAAGCAAAATAAACTAAGGAATATCAAATTGTGAGTGCAGGGGGAAAAATGCATCTACCTACCTACTTAACTACCTACCTATCTGGTGATAGAAATACAAAGTTAATCATGTACGTAAAGAGGAATTTCATACTGTCCTTGCAGCATCAAAATACGAAATTATAAAAACTTAAAGCAGATATTACTACTGTTTTTAATAAACAGCACACACCATTTATCGAATGTTTATACATACCAGTTTATTGAAAGAATGTACACACACAGAGAAAAAGTATAAAGGATAAATATCTAAAGGATTCCATTTCTTTCATATGAATATATTTTGAAATTTTCAAAGCTCTCTTGTGTTATCCCTTTGTTGTCACCCTTCCCCTCAATCTATCATCCCCAAAACCCACTTTCCATCCAACAGCTTTGTCTTTTTTACAATGTCATAGAAATGGAAGCACACAGTATGCTCCTTTCACTCAACATAACGTCTTTGAGTTTCAGTCAAGCTGCTGGTGTAGCAACAGTTCATTGCCTTTTATTATGCAGACATACTGCTTGTTTATCCACTCATCCACTAAAGTATATTTGGGCTGTTTCTAGATTATGAAGATTATTAATAGACATGGTAAAAATATTCATGTTTTTGTATGAACACACTTGCATTTCTCCTGGGAGTGGGATTTCTGGGTCTTATGGTAGGTACATGTATGTTTAAATTCTATATATTTGTATAGAGATTCAAATAAAATATATACGTAACAGGAGTCTTGCGGACTCCTGTCCAAGCTATAAAGGAAGTGTCAGTCAACTTCTTAGCTGGGGGCAGTGCTCTATTCCAGGATTAATCATTTGTAATTTATATATAATGGAAAAGAAGCCTCTACCACCAATCTTTGCTATGCATAGGATATGATTATGCATGTTACTTGATGCAAAAATAGGCTACCCTGAGGAGATTGTTATCTCCTTATTAATCACCCAATTTCATACAATATCAAAAATGAAGAAGGAAAAAGCTTACCCGCAATCTTCGAATCTGGATATCAGAGAACTTTCGCACTCCATTTACTGAGGGTACCAAACGATTAAAGAGAGCCTTAAAGGGAAGGAGGAAAAGGTCTTTTAAGTCAGAGGGAGCCCACTGCCTTGCTCCCTGCAACATCACTACCCAATATTAATGCAGATGCCTCAGCATTTACAAAGTGCCCTGGGGCTTCAGCAACCTACCTTGTCTGTCTGGGTCAGTTCATGGAACATGCGGGCATCAATGGCCGCGGCAACCAGGTTATTAGCTGCAGTGATGGCATGGATGTCACCAGTGAGGTGGAGATTAAACTACGAAAAAGCAGAAGCTACTTTAGTCTTCCAACTTTTTACCTGTTTCTAAAATTCATTCTATAACAGCCAAATTAATTCCCCTGTTAAAGCCAATGGGAAACTGATGGTAGTATATTCAGTATGCTCTAGAAAACATAAAAGAAATTGTGGTTTTCCCTAAGTGACATGTCCAGTAATGACAAATGCCACATCACTGGGATCAACAGCATCAGTGGGTCATGGGGACACACTCCAGGCTTTAAGCAGCAGGAGAGAAAGACTGCACAGGAGCAGCTTGACTCTATGCCCAAACATTTTCCCATTTCTGTAGTTACTCCCTGAATTTGCTGAGTGATGGTTCATTCCAGTCTCACGCTTCATTCTTCATTCTATCATTATCCCTACTGAGTGCCAGACTTTGAAGTCCTTGTCAAAAAACAATTCTTACAAATTTGCAAATTAAGACACTTTCCCTTGCATCTGCTGAGAAACAAGTCATTTGTACATTATGAGATCTACAATAAAGGTCACTCTCTGAAAAGAAACAGCTATGATAAAGGGTCTGATTCAACCAGATCCTGAAATACTTTACCTCTTCCATAGGAATGACCTGTGAGTAGCCACCTCCTGCGGCGCCACCTAGAAAACAGGCCGAGGGAAGCCTCGTTAAGCACTTGTCTCCATGATTCCCGAGTCCCATAAAAGCACATCAGTTTTTGGAACTGCTACACATATTGCTTATTTACTTTTTATAGCCAGTTGGACAGATTTGATCCAGTGTTTTCTAATTTTCTTTTACAAAGCTAAAACATTTGGTCTTGTTCATGCTGAATAGTCTCTCAATTGAAATCTGAGTCTAAATGACAAAACCATGAACACATACAGGTTCCTGGTGATCCCCAGCCTACAGTCTACATAAAGGCAAACCTTCTTCTCTCAATTTCCTACTCTCATTAATGCTATTCTGGCATTTTTTTTTTAAAAGGAGTATTAAAATATACACCCCAAATAAAAGACTGCAATTCTTCCTAAGTAGGGTACAATGTGAGAAAACAGGTTAGCTTCTAGGTTTTTTGCTGCCCCATTTGGATTATTAACCAAAAGTGAGTCAAAAATATCTAGATTGATGAGTGAGATAAATGTCAATTTGAAGTTTAGATTTTGTGTCTGTTTGTATGGCAGAACCCACACAATGAAAAGGAGGTAATTCATGTTGAGGAAAAGAAGAATACTAGGTTCAGTAAGCAGACCCTGGGAAAAAGTTCATTCTGAAGTTGTAAGGAGGCTTTTAAGACAAGCTCAAAAGCAGAACTGTGCACATTTATCAAACATATCAAAACAACAACCAGAAGAAGGGCAAACGTGTACCCGATGTCAACATTTATAGGAATTGCTAGAACAAAATATGTGAGACTCTATCAGCAAGCAAATGAGAAATCTAACTTAAGAACATATTTTTATAATTAATAAAAATAATTTTAATATATTTTAAAGATTTATTAATTTATGTATACAAGAACTGGGGTACAAGGCCAGAGGTATGCAGTGGGGGTGAGAGGATTCACCAGAGACAGAGTTGAACAGAACAGGTGGACTGACTGAAATACACTGCTGAGGGGAGCAGCGGGCAAGACAGTAGAGGTCTGCTGCACCATGTGAGTTAGCTCCCTGGCCAGGGATTGAACTTGTGCTGCAGTGTTGCAGATTGCTTCATAGTGCTGAGATTTAACGCCTTGTACCACCAGGGGGGCCCCAAAATAATTTTAATTTTAAAAGAGCATGCTTGCTGTACTGCAGCTATCAAAAACTAAATATGAACTATGGTTACTAGTGTTGTGTTTTCATCCAGTCAGAAGAAATGCTGTGTTAATGGTATTGTTTTAGAGCTCGAAATAAACAGAGCCCAAACACTAATAAATTAGCTTTGATTAAATTACCTCTGAAGTCCCAACTGCTACTATTGTAAAATGGTGATAATGCTACTTATTCCATATAAGAAGGTAAAACAGTAGGCATAAATTGCTTAACACAATACCAGGCACAAAGCATATACTCAATAAGGGTAGGTTTTCTTATTTATAACATAGTGAAACATTTATAGGGTTTGACCATGATCAGTAGCTATGATTACCTTTATCGTTACTGTGACAGTTGACTATTAGACACAGAAAAGCAACCCTTTGTGCAGGGTCAAAAAGAGTGATCAGGGGCCTCCATGGTGGCGCAGCGGTTGAGCGCTGGGTTGCGAAGCTGCTCGCAGCCTCTGCAGCGCTGGTTCAATCCCTGGATGCCAGGGAGGGTCCCACTTGGCGTGCAGATCTCTCCTGCCGCCCGCTGCTCCCCTCAGCAGTGTACTTCGTCCATCTGCCTGTTCTGCTCCCTGCTCTGGTGAATTCTCTCACCCTCCCGCGCTTCTGACTATACCCAGTGCTTGTATAAACAAATAAATAAATCTTAAAAAAAAAAAAAAAACAAAACTTTTACATTTAGTGTTCCAAAAAAAAAAAAAAAAAAAAAAAAAAAGAAAGAGTGATCAGATGAAAGTCTTTGCCAAAAGCACTTCATTAAGGGGTGTGGGGAGGACACTCCTGGTGTCTAAATGAGTTAAACACCCACAGCATTCATGCGCTGAGTGGGTCAGGAAGGCCTGAAGAGAAGCAGGCGCCCTCTGGCCATCAGTGGGCTAGTCCTGTCAATACCTTTTATTCCAAAGGTGGGGCCCTGGGAAGGCTGGCGCACACACGCAAAGACGTTCTGATGAAGGTGGGCACCAATGGCTTGCACGAGTCCAATGGTAGTTGTGCTTTTTCCTTCTCCCAGGGGTGTTGGAGTTATTCTTCAAGATAACAGCAAAAGAGGAAAAGTAAATACATGTAAATTACTAAGTCAGCTCAAACAGATCCTGAAGATTAATGCTTACTCTGCATAATAAGATGAAAGACCTGAAAAGGATCTTTTCCAAGAGTTTTTAGTTGCCATTTCCTCAAAAACTTAAATTAAGAGGAACTGTTGTATTTTAGCTCCTCTCACTGTGAGGAGCAAATAGACTTGTAGAGAAACACTGCTATAATTTTAATTTCTTAACTTAGCCTCAAGAACTAGTTTTTCTATAACTCAGCCAAGCCTAAAAAAGAATGCTTGATAACTCTACTGAATTAATGAAATGAGGGTTAAGAAAGTTGATTCCATCTGAAGGTCAACTTTTAAGGTTCAACTCTTCTACCTTCTAGAAGGATAACCTTGATAATTTTTCTCATTTCTGAAGGGTTATAATCTCCTTTTACCTTCTAGGGTTGCAGGAAGGGTCGAGTGAGACAAAATGTATCTTAGAATACTAAAACCTAATTAAAGGAAATTTTGTGTACATATTTATTACCCGTGGTAATAAATCAGGATTACTATTAAGATTTGATTGGCAAATGAAAAAAATCCATACCCAGTCACCACCACATATTTTCCATCAGGCTGGTATTTCAGGCGCTCCAGCGCTGACAACAAAACCTTGGCCTTTGTCTCGCCATACAGTTCTACCTCTTCAGACAGCAGACCAATTTCTCGAGCCAAGTTACCAATGGACTTAGGCTTGCAAGATCGTGATATGTCAATGTCACTTAAAAGAAACACATAAAGTAAGTATCAATTCTTAGAATTTAATCCCACCCCCACCATGGCTAGGGGTCCAAAGGGGACAGCTATAGTTTCAAACTAGAGAAATTTTATTTTTACCTTGGAACAGGTGTCTTGAGGTTAAGGTTGTTATACTGGATCGTCCATTTTCCAGGCCTAAATTTCTCCAGAAATCGCTTTGCACTCTCTACTGTGCTCTAAACAAAATGACATAAATGGAACTTAGAAGAGGTGAGTATTTTAAGCTCCACCTCAATTTCAAATCCTGCTTCACTCCAGTTCAACCACAGTTTTATGTTCCACTATTAATATGCTTCATTCAATTCTAGGTAAGAATGTACAGGCACCTAGAATGTTTTTGGCTGCCTGCCTCTTCCCGTATCAGCTGGTGTGCATTCAAGATGGTAAGTCAACTTGGACCTAAAAAGTCAGTGTGTTTGCACTTTCCTATTTCTAATGTTCTTACATTCCAAAGTAATTTAGAATTGTGCCATTCTTATTTTCTTCTATTAATATGATTGGTTCTATTTCTCTGTTCTTCCATCCCCTTTTTTCTTTCAACAGATTCCCATCCTTATTTAACATCTGTGTAGGTTTTAGGACATTTCTTCTTAAGGAGAAAGGCAGCAATGTGACTCCTATGGATTCTTCTTAGAACTGTCACAGAAACGCTGATCTGCACGCACCTGCATCAGCATTGCCACCGTCATGGGCCCGACACCACCAGGAACAGGAGTGATGAAGGCTGCCCGTTCTTTGGCCTCATTGTATGCCACGTCACCCACAACTTTTCTCCCATTTGGTTTTGAATCATCTGGTAAGAGAGGTAAAAATCAAAGCAATGCCTCAGACTCACAATCTTGGTGTTCATTTCTAAATTATGTGATCAATTACAAAAGCTTATTCCAAAGAATAAGAATTTAGGGTATGTAGTCCCATGTGGCTCAAGTGCTTACTTTACTTAAAAGCTATGGGATGACAGGTAATTTCCATTACCTAAGGAGATATTTGTTTTACCTCCAAAAATTCATAAGCTACTTAAGTGGTTTCTCAAAACTAGGAGAATCCTTTTGTAGTCTGTCAGGAGGCAAATAAAAATACCAACTGTTTTTCATCCTTAAAGCCAACTACCCAGTATATAATGAGAACCTTTTAAAATGTTAATTTGCAAGGCCTACAAAAGAATTTTTTGGGTGCACAAAGCTCCAACTTATGTCACAGCTGCCAGATACGGTTTCTACAGCAACTGTCAGCATTTTGTGAGCTCCATGCATGAGCTGGAGGAACAATTCAACATCTAGTTCCAAAGACGAGCAGCTACTTAAATGTATGCAAAAAAGCAAAGAATATAATTATACTTCCCTTAAAAGGATACAAGAACAACTACAAATCTTACCAGCAAAGAACAGCTATTCAAGAGAATAAAACCCAGTGATGCATCATTGCTCACTCACACAAAATACATCCTACACTTAGCTTCAGTGCACTTCCGGGAGGGGCTGGGGGACTGGCTAGAACTTGCAGCTCGAAGGCTCTGGAGGCGGGATCTGGTAGGATCTTAGCCATTTCACCACCTCTCTTGGTCAACTTGCCGAAACTGAGAGAGGAGTCTTAAGGGGGTAGCCCAAGAGCCAGAATGAACAGATGTTTGCTCTAGGATCAGTGCTTCCACTAACTGCTAGCCTTCCCCCCATAGGCTCCTTGCTGGTCATTAGTCCAAAGATGCAAAGGATTAACACCACCTAGTTCACAAGCTTGCTGACAAGCAAGAGAGGAAATGTGTACATTCTTAAAACTGAAAAAGCACTCTTCAAACATAAGGGTTTTTCTCTTTCCATCTTAGATACATGTGATGTCTTCTATATGGATTAGAAGGAGCTAGTGAGCAGGACTCTTTGGGATAATTTCAGGTTTCTAGAAGGTTATAAAGCAGCAAACTATAGCAAAATATTTCCTCTCATAACCGACTAAAGTGTCAAAATGCCAAGGGAAAACTGTTAAGGACCTGTTCCTTAGAATAAGCTTCATTAGGCTAACACTGATGTTAGTAAAATAGCCCTGCATTTCTATTTATTAAAGTAAGTTATTTTATTTTCTCTGTATATAGAAGACACACCAATTCCTACACAACTAAATGCTGCACTATGTGGGCTCAGTATTTCAAGGAAAGTATGATGTGACCAGAGGAAATTCTGACCATTTCTCAATCTAAGTGTAAGGCTTTAGTAACGAAGAGACATCTTGGTTATCTAACCTAACCCTTGAATTTCCCACTCACTGTGAATTATATGCACAAAATTTCAAAAGAGCCTTGACTTCTCCACATATAGTTTGAGGACCTGTATTAATAGAATCCAGTGCAGAAGTCACTACCCGGGATAGGTTGAGATTGGATAGGGTGGAGACTCTGTTTCCTCTTTTTATAGCCTTTCCAAATACAACACTGTTAATCTAGTTCTTCTCAAATTTTGTTCAGCAAGCCAAGCACAAAGAACACTTTGTCTTTTGACCATTACTTTCTGTCCTGTACTTGAATCTTTAAAAATATTCCTTAACAAAAAACTTCATTCATTCTTGATTTGACAAGTAATTCATGATTATTATCCGTGAGTGGACCATACAAAATGATTTAAATCAAAATATGAACCAAGAGGTTGCCCAGTTAGAGAACATGGTGCTTCAAAATGAATACTTGTCAAGAACAGTCTAGGTCCTTCAGCCCGCCCACTGGGCTGTACCTCAGTGACTCTGTCATTCTTGGAGGACAATATAAAAAGCGTACTGATACTTATCCACCCATATGCTAAGGATCAGTAAAAATATGGTTGACTAAGAAGGAAGCTACAGCTTTGCTCTTATTCATATTTTACCATCTACATGAGGCATAGATGTGAACAGGGCAAGAAGTTTCATGTTGAAGTCAACATTTCACACCCATCTGCAAGACTCAAGATCCCCACCCAGGTTTTTCTTCATCTGTCTCTCAAATCTAGTCCAGAAAATGTCAAAAGCACAAATATGATATAGAAGATGCAAGATTTTAAACAGAATGAGCTTGAATGTCATATCACAAGTACTCAAAGTGAGGAGTTGTAGGAGAGCAATTTCTTTATCACCCATTAGATAATTACACTACATGAAAATGAGTGATCAATTATGAGCTACTGTCTTAAAAGCATGGTAGGGAGAGTGGGAGGGAGGTTAAAAATGGTGAAGGCTTGACAGTGACTAATGTTCCTGGCAGCTTAGTGTCTATATTTCAAACTTGAGAGGGGAAGGGGAAAAAAAGATTATTCTTGCTATAACTCCCTTCTATAATTCAAAAGATATGAGTGTAACCAGTCTGGACATACGAGGCTGGACATAGCACGAGGGACATGCTGAGGCCCTGGCTAGATGACAGAGTAGATCCTGGACACCCAGCAGGAGACACACAGCAAAGGCAACACCAAGTGCCATGGGAGGGAGGGGTTTTCCAAAGAAGGAGAGAGCACCCCTTGGTAAGGGAAAATGAGACACTGCTTGGAAGGAAGAATGGGCATTTGGACAGAGGAGGTGTTGAAAGTGAAGACTGCATTTGAGTACTGCTGTCCTGGGGTGGTGCTTGATGTACAGAAACAGTCATTTGAAAGAATATTCCTCTCTTGAATCTCTAAGGTAAGTGTACAAATGTTCACTATATGTCCTTTCCTTTTTTAATCCACCCAGATTTTTTTAAAAAGATTTATTTATTTATGCATACAAGAACTGGGGTACAGGCCAGAGCTGTGTGTGTGGGGGCAAGAGTCATCAGAGACAGAGTGGGGAGGTGAACAGGCAAATCTACTGAAATATACTGCTGAAGGGAGCAGTGGGCGAGTCAGGAGAGGTCTGCTGCACCATGTGGGTTACCTCCCTGGCCGGGGATCAAACTCTTACTGCAGTGGCTGTTGATAGCCTCACAGTGCTGCGTCTTAACCCCTTGTGCCACCAGGGAGGCCTCAATATATGTTCTTTTAAAGTTTATACTTGAAACTTCATAATGAAATAACAGACTGCCCACTAGAGACGCAGGTATGGAGGCTGCCAAGGCCACAAGGCACGTGCAGGACAGAGCTGTGGTCCACGCACAACAGTGTAAGACAGGTACTCACAAAGTGCTTGTGAGAGAGGCCACAGAGTGGGCTGCAAGAAACATGGGGCAGAGTAACACGGGAGGAAGAGGCACAGGGGTCCAGGTTGAAGTGGACCTGCACATGCTGTGTTTGATCGGCACAGAGGACAGGAAAAGTCCCCTGGTACTAGACATTTTACTGGATGGGGAGATGGACTAGAACCTGCAGGACTGGGAAGAGCAGGGACTTCGAGCCACAGGCCTAAGCGACATTGCTACATCACTGCTCTCTCCCCCATGGAATCAGGAATCACCAAGTAGTAGCAGAGCAGAGCACTACTTGGTGTAGATTAAAAGAGAAAGTGCTAGACCTCTCTCTACACTTAGTTCCACACTCAACGGTGATGTGTACACTGAGGGCACGCAGATGGACCTGAGTGGGAGTTAGCTGGCAGCAGGAAGACCAGAAACATGTTCAAAGCAGCCCATGTAGGTGATAGGGCAATACTCAAAGGTGACACTGGGGGCAGAGATGACAGGAAAAAACCCTGACGATTTAAAAACACATCCAATATAGGGGATGATTGTGAGAGAAACTAAAAGTGTTCAGATCCATGGAAAGGAAGAATGGTGATACCATTAACCAAAATAAGGGGGATGAGAAGGCACTTAGGTGTGAAGATGCCAAGCACGCTTTTGGGCTTTGTCTCTCTGCCTAGAAAAATCCCAGCTCATACAGCTTCTTTGCAAAGCCCTCCTAGAGGACTCTTGGTAGAACAAGCCCCTCACCTGGAATCTCACACTTGGCAAAGATTACACTGTTTTAAATCTACTCATACTTTGTTAAAACAGAGTGATCTTTACAAGAAGATAAAGTGAAACACCCCCCTACCCCCGTGGCTGCTCTCCTTGAACCCCATCATCTCAGGAGTCACACAGTACAGTGGCTCAAGTCACAGACTCTGCTGTCACACTAATCTGCCTTCAAAAGGCAGGCAACCAAGCCATCCACTCCCGGCATGCACCTTCGGGCAAGTCCACAGCTCCAAAACATAGCGCTTCAAGTCCCCAATGGGACAAGGGGTTCTCACTTAGGCTGCCTCTGTTGAGCCTGCCCCAGAAAGCTGCCTTCCTCCTCCAGCAACACTCACCTGGGACGTAATTGATTCCACAGTCGATGACTATTGCCCCAGGTTTGATCCATTCCCCTTTCACCATTTCTGGCTGACCTGTTGCAACCACTAGGATGTCACCTTTATTTACCTAGGAGAAGAAATTAAACATTGGAACATACAAGAAAATCTACAGTGGAAAGGATATCCTTGAGTTTAGCAGGAAATTCTTCATTGGTAAGGGTAAGGGTAAGACAGGCGCTCATAAAGTGCATGTGTGAGAGAGAGGGGCTACATGTAATGTGGGGCTAAGTAATGGGGGAGGAAGAGGCACAGGGGTCCAGGTTGAGGCGGACATGGTAAGGGCACGCAGATGGACCTTAGTGGGAGTCAGCTGGCAGTAGCAAGAGTATTAACAAGCAGCCCATGTAGGTGATAGGGCAATACTCAAAGGTGACACTGGGGGCAGAGACATCAACCACTTGACAGGGGTTAGGCCTCAAATGCCTGACAGCTGTGTTTGATCCTGCACAGAGGACAGGAAAAGTCCCCTGGTACTAGACATTTTACTGGATGGGGAAATGGACTAGAACCTGCAGGACTGGGAAGAGCAGGGGCTTCGAGCCACAGGCCTAAGGCGACATTGCTATATCACTGCTCTCTCTCCCGTGGAATCGGGAATCACCAAGTAGTAGCAGAGCAGAACACTACTTGGTGTAGATTAAAAGAGAAAGTGCTAGACCTCTCTCTACACTTAGTACCACACTCAACAGTGATGTGTACACTGAGAATTCTTGGTCTCAGGAATCTGATTCCACGGTCAAGAAAACATCGCAACAGATGTCAGCCTAGTAAGCCTTTGGGATCTGCCTGCCAGGGGTCAATCCTGGTTCCTATTCTGTTAATCTCTATCTACCATGAGGTGGGCTGGTACATAAAGAATATGGTCAAAACAGAACCTGTACAAAGGTGAGCAAGTCTTGAATTCGAATTTCTTCCTTTATCTTGTAAAATGAGACAAGATTCAAAGCACTGTTGTAGTGATTAAATGAGATAACGAGGCAAAGCACATGGGAGTTTCTGGCACTTACGTGTTAGCTACACCCCTGTGAGAGCGTGTGATTGCACACACAGAGAACAGCCCCTGTACTCTGGGCCCCTTACCTCCTCGCCGAGATTGGCAGTCTTGGAGTGGCAGGTGGTCACTGTGGCATTGTTCCACAGAAGCAAGTCATGCATTGGGGCCCCGACTATTTTACTGCGCCCGACCACCACAGCATGCCTTCCAGCAATCTGCACCCCTGAGGAAAAAAGCCAGCATGACCAGAGAATTGGGGGAAACTGCCCTCCTTCACATGCCACCTAAATGGGAACTTTCCGAACAACTGCACTAGAACAGGTTCTTAGCATCAAGAGACATCTTCCTAAAAGCATTCTTCCTTTGGCAATAATTCTGCAACCCCAGGGTTTCAGCTACAAATTAGAATGTGGACATGTGTCCTTCTTGCTGTGGGTTTGGGAAGCAGCATAAGCCAAGATCCAATCATTGAGTCATGGGGGAGTGGGAAGAAAACCAACTCTCAAAGCAAAAAGAACCCCTGACATAAACAGCCATATGGAAGAAGACTTAAGATTAAATTACACGGGAAAAACAGTTATAACAAATAAGAGAGTAGAAGATGTTGAGGGAAGAAACAGAAATTAGATTAGTATCAGTAACTCTAACTTTGGTAAGTTTATTTATGCAGTTCCTCATTCAAATTTCTCTTTTGGCTTAGGATCTGAGACGTAGGGTTGTTTGTAGGGAAGTGATAAAAACTGTAGCAAGAAGCCTTCTTTCTGCCCGCTCAGCATCCACTTCAGGTCTGACATACTCAATAGAGATGGTTTCAGTGAGTACCCAGAAGAGGACAATTGACCATTCACCACCTGGCCAATAAAATCCTATTCCATGACTATAAGGCACAAGGATGGAACAAGACTGGAGCTGCGGGCCATGATGCAGAGCCTGAGAGGGGAGGAAGGCAGAGACTGAGGACCTGAGGACTCCACATGCACCTCTACCCAGCCACAGCTAAGTGGACTCTTACTTAAAGTAGTTTGTGCTTCTTGCATAACATTAATTTTATGCAAAAAAGACGAAGCTTCTATATAATGCTAACATCGGGAACATCTCCAAGTTAAGTCCTCAGAGTTTGAAGTGTTCATAAATTTACTATGAGTTTTAACACACTGTTGACTAAACATGCCCTAGAATATGAATTTAGCTCTAGGACTAAACAGTGATCGAAGGCTTAAAGCTTGACCTTTTCTTGCCAACCACAGAAAATTTTCTTATATGCTGGCTAACACTTTCCATGTGAAACTTCTGGTCTACTTCCTTTAAATAGGACACACTTCCTTTGCTAAAAGTATTCATGCTGAAATTAAAACACCAAGATGCTAACTAGGTAAAGGGGCGATATGGCCAACTGTTCAAGAGACTCGTTTCCGCCATCTGTCTAGCCCTAGAACTACCATGGAGAACGGGGGCCCACTTCAGAGGTGGGGCTCGTCACTCTGTTCCCTGACATACGATCTGAATTCTTTTAACCAAATAGGTTATTTTTCACACAAAAGTTGCTTTGAGCTCAATTAACCCTGAGTTCAAATCTAGGCTCTGCTCCTTCTTAGACAAGTTACTCAATCTCTCAGAGCCTGTTTTCTAGGCTGCTGAACAATAACAGTTCCTACTTCATGGGGCTGTTGAGACAATTGAGAATTGAAGTAAAGTCCTTCAGAGACACAATGGGTCCTGCATTGATCAAGTCCATTTATTCTGGGTCCACTGTGTACCTTCTCAGTACCTCCACATGTCAAGACCAGACTCCAAGAAATGGTGCTTTGTTTAGCTTGTACCTGTCTCTTTGATGAGTTCCAAGCATCCTTTAGGAGTACAAGGGACAAAACAGTCATTTAGGTCACCTCTAGCAAGTTTTCCGGCACTGATGCTAGTCAACCTAAAATAATGAAAGTAATGAAGAGGGAGATAAAGGTAATTAGGTGCCCTTACATTTTACAAGCAAATATATGATGTGTTCCCCAAATAGGAATCATGCAATGAGATACAGAAGGCCAAGCCACACTCACCCATCCACATCCTTTTCAGGGGCGATGGCATTGATCACTGCTTCCGTATCAATGGGATTATCTGAATCTAAAGGGAGCTGCACTATGAACCCATGTACAGAAAGGTCTTCATTCAAAGATGTAATATACTTTAGCACCTAAAAGTCATACCACGCACAATTTGTATAAGACATAGAAATCAAAAAGGCAGAGAAACTCTTTTTAAGTCAAGTCAGATTGACCCATGTTCCCCTAAGAGTTTAACTGTGGTCCTATCAGAATGTATTTCCCTTTGGATACTGAGAGAGGTTTTACTTTAACACAGAATGTGATCTTCAGGTGTCTGGTAAGAAATCCATTAAATGAAAGGGCCAAGAACTTCGGTGACTCATTACTGCAACAGTAATGCCCACATTAACTTCACCCAAATCAAGATTTCTGTGATGACAAAAATGTTCTATCATTTGCACCTTATAATATAAGAGCAGCTACTGAAATTTGAATGTGTCTAGTAGGAACTGAATTTTTAATCTTATTTCATTTTAGTTGTGGGACTAGTGGCTACTCTATCAGATGGTGTGGATGTAAAACATTCCATCACTTTGGAAAGTTTTTTCCCCTCCTGCCCTTTCACAACTAATTCCCCAACCTACAGGCAACCAAAGTTCTGACTTAAATCACCAATGATTTGTTCTGCCTATTCTTAAATGTCACACAAAAGGAATACACAACTGGTATTTAAGAGGGAAGGAACAACAGGCCAAGGATCCATTTTTAGTGAACATCACAGGTGACTGGAAATGATACTGTAATCATACTCTGAGCAAATGCTCTAAATCTATCAGCCCTAAAGTTCTACCAAACGGAAAACCACATCAGCTGTCCTCTAAGCAATCAATTCATAACAGCTCACCTCAGACTCTGTGGCCGTTCTTGGTAACTTTATGTGAGTGGCTTTGATCCCAATCTGCAGAAAAGAACATTTAAAGCAGGCATATGGCAGGAGAACTTAAGGCATGGGCCCATTTCTTTTACAGATATGACGAAAACAAACCAAGTGGCGTTTGTTACTCATCATTTCACCCTTATATGTTCTGAAGACTTAGTCTCTCGTTTTGACCCATTCATCATTGACTTGCTAATTGTCATCCCTGTATGCGAGCAGTTTTTTGTCCACTATTCCTCTTCTTGGGGACCAAGCAAATCACTGATTAGAGAATATTCAAGGGCAAACCAGCGCCTGCAGCTCTAAGTCACCCACTTCTGACTTGCAAAATAGATCAACCAAAGTCTGCTGTGGGCAGTGAGATTTACTGGAGAGGGGAACAAAGGGCAAAGGGTGCAGGTGGGGTTGGGGTGGTTGGGGAGGAGGGTAATAGCACCAATGGCCTAGGTGTTACCTCTTCAGCAGCCTTCAGCTTCACATTTATATAAAGATTGGAATCATCTCTGTCGCCAACCTAGAATAATGAATACATGCAAATCAGATGCTTAGGAAGAGACAAAGTGTACGGAAAAGCTTCTAAAATTTTAGTTTTGATCAAAGGAATGTTCAAGCATGCGATGCTTGTTGCAGAAAACTTTTGCAGTAGAATAAGGAGACTGTCAGGGCAAGATGGAGATGTGAACACAGCTCGCTCGAAACAAAGCCCACCCAGAATTCACTTAAAATGTCACAAGAGGGCCTCCCTGGTGGCGCAGGGGTTAAAGACAGCGCTATCAAGCTATTACTAGCCACTGCAGCACAAGTTCGATCCACGGCCAGCCAGGGAGCAACCCACATGGGGCAGCTGCCCTCTCCTGCCTCGCCCACTGCTCCCCTCAGCAGTGTATTTCAGTTGATGTGCCTGTTCTGCTCCCCACCGTCTCTGGTAAATCCTCTCGCCCCCCACAACTCTGGCTTACACCCAGTTCTTGTATGCATAAATAAATAAATCTTTAAAAAAAAAAAGTCACAAGAAAAGTAGTGGACATGTGCATGGATCTTGGAAATGAAGGGCAGTGGAGAGCTCTCATGCTAGACCTCACAGAGAAGAGAAACCAGCCAGGGTCTATCTCTCAGGGGACAGACACCTACCTGAGGCGAAGGGCCGTCTGCTGCCCTCGGGACAGAATGCCAAGTCCTGTGAACCACTCTGCTAGATCCTGCTATGCGCTCTGCTTTCCTTTAATCATGAGCATATTTATAGCTTTTCATTGTTACCATTTACCTGTAAAATTTTACTTACAAGTATTTTTCTATGATCCAATGGTTAACATTTGTCCTTTTCAAGATTAAAAATCGTCTCTCAGGGTGATATGCCACAATAAATGTGGCTTCTCTCCAAATACAGAAAATATTACAGAGGGAGAAGTGGTAGGTTCCTCACACCAAAGAGAACTGTGCTGGGCTCCTTTTAACAGAAGAGCCGCAGAGAAAGAAGTTGGTTTTAGTAGCTGTATTCCCACTGTGTCACACTGCTGCTCCCCTCAGGCTCATGCCCTTCCTCTTAGCTTCAATTGTCCTTATACAGAGAACTCACAATTTTGCTGGGGCTAGATTGAGCCTCAGTAGTCAGGAAAGTCCTTCTGTGGGGAATTTGGTTTCTTTGTGGGACATATGCACATAAGTATATCAATGAGATTTGACACTCAGAATTTAATATCCTGAGACTTTTAGATCATACTCAGAAAGGAGATGGTTTTAAACACAAGGGCACTATTTTTCAGACTTTCATAAATGTTCATTATGTACAATTAGTTATTTAGACTTAACTCTTAGATTAAATGATTTCATTGCTAACTGTCAGTCTTTTTTTAGAAACTACAACTTCTTTGTTCTACAATTTATCTCCCTTCATCTCTCAGGCAGCTGAAATGCAGCGATGTTACTTTTCCAGAAAAGGTATGTGTGCTTTTTTTCTTAATCTATGGGTATCTGGAAACAATTTTCTGCTGTCTTTATGCTTGAAGGATCTAGCAGGTTGGGTCTGAAGTCTTGACAGTCCTCTTCAGTGCTGTAACAGAAGTCTGAAGTGTTTTTGCTGTTACTGTTCCTTTATAGGTAACTTTTCTGTATGGATATTTCTGGAGGCATTTTTTCTAAAATTCCAAACAGCTACATGTTTTTTTAATTTTATTTTTTTAAGATTTATTTATTTATGCATACAAGAGCTGAGGTGCAGGCCAGAGGTGTAGGGTGGTTAGAGGATTCGCCGGAGACAGAGTGGGGAACAGAACAGGCAGACTAACTGAAATACACTGCTGAGGGGAGAGCGGGCAAGTAAGGAGGGGTCTGCTGTGCCAAGTGGGTCACCTCCCTGGCAGGATCGAACTCAGGATAGCTTCATAGTGCTGAGACTTAACCTTTTCACACCAAGGAGGCCCCAGCTACCTTCTTCTTCTTCTTTTTTTTTTTTTTGAAGGCTTAATAGTTATGTTTATGAACAGATGTCAAAGTTTCATTGTAATCCTAATGCAGAAAGACTTCTTAGGTGCCAATTCAAAGATTCACTCTCAGTCTAGGCATTATATAGGGGGAAATGGTTATATAATCTTTGATAGACTGGATGCAAAAAGAATGTTTAGCTGAAGAACAGTAGATTCTTGACTGACAGTCAAGTGGGTAGGTGGAAGACTGGTTTCCCAGAACAAATCTTACTTCGAAATATAGTTTATCAAGAAAATCACTTAAGTATTTTGTCAGGAATGCTAATTTCTTCCTTAAAGGAGGTAAATTACATCATCCAAACTGGGTATCATTCCAGAATAAGTTAGGGACAATATTTTTTTATACCAGGAGACTGCAGTTTCTTGTAAAGGGCCAACAGTATATATTTTATGTTTTTGGGCCACACACTCTGTCACATTCTTTTTCTTCTCCTTTTTTAACCCTTTATGATGTGGGCCATAGTTCACCAATTCCTGTTTTATACCATACTTGGGTATTGGTGTACTCATTCATATTTCATTCTACTTCAGGAAGCTTTTCTAGGTATTCAGTCCAGTTGAATTTTATTAATTTAACTGTTTTGTCTGTGTCTTTTGTGAAGCAAAATGAGTACTACATATAAAATACTTTGAGTAGCTACTGGTGGGAAGCAAATATTAGTTATTAAATTCTAAATATTAAAGAATTTTGTATTAAGGGGATAAAAAGTAGGCTCCTTTGTATCTCTTATAATGAAAAGTCTCAGCTTTCTCTAAATATTCAGTAGTTTGGCAAGTTACCAGTCTGTTGCTTTTTTAAATTCCAACTTTTAGGTGTATATATACCTGGGCCAGGTTATGAGCTCCTTTAAGCAATGATAAGAATTAGAGAAACAATGGGGAAAGTAAATGGGCTTTGGAGACCTGGCTCCATATGCCAAACTCAGTCCCTTCCTGACTATGGCGTTGAGAAACTTCAAGATATTTGGTCATCTAGTTACTGTGACTAGGAAACAGTTCCCACCTTGTAGGGACAATATAAATATTGGAACAACTTGAAACAACAAGTGATATAAACATAAACCATTTAAACTATTGCAGACCCTGAATGTAAGTAGTACTGTCACTCCTCTGTAGAGGATGGGGAGGGGGTATAGTTGTATGGATGGATTGTCATCAGATGTACATTTCAGTGAGGGCAGCCACTGTAGTTAAGAGGACTGAATGAAAGCATCTAGATCAGAAGCCTCAGAACAGTAAGCAGGTGACTGCAGTGACTCCAGGAGGTGGGAACAGCAGAAATCAAAAGATTTCAAGAGCCAAAAGAGGAAGAATCAACAGCACAACAGTTGGTAGTGGGATGTGAAGAGTGAGGGAGAGACATTCTAAAGAGATGAACTCAGTTTTCTGACTTGAGTGTGTTGAAGAGATTGGTGTCAGTCACCATGATGGAAAAATCAAGGAGTCTGTGGCTGCAGAGATGTGAGTACAACATAACATGTTTGTCTTGCATCATAGGAAAATGTTGAGTCTGGGGCCTCCCCTGGTGGCGCAGGCAGTTGAACAACGCACTGTGAAGCTGTCTGCAGCGCCAATTTGATCCTGGCCGGCCGGTGTGGGTCCCACATGGCACAGCAAACCTCTCCTGTTTTGCCCGCTGCTCCCCTCAGCAGTGTATTTCAGTCACTCTGCCTGTTCTGTTCCCTGCTCTGTCTCTGGTGAATCCTCTCACCCTCCCACACATCTGGCTTGTACCCCAGTTCTTATATAAATAAATCTTAAAAAAAAAAAAAAAGAAAGAAACTATATTCTAAAAAAAAAAAAAGAAAAGAAAAATGTAGATCTGGTGCTAAAGTGCAAGATTAAAATAACCCATCATTGGTTTATTGGTAAGAACATAGGAGACAAGCTGCAGAACAGTGTTTATATAATAAAAACACTTGCAGTCAATAAAATTCAAGTATGAGTTTAGCAAACGAATGAACTAAAGAAAACAAAAATGTCATTAGACTAAAAGGCAAATTAGTGATTACAAGAAAGGAAGCGGGAAAGGGAGTGGGCAAATTGGGTGAAAGGGTGGTGAACATAAAGTTATATAATATTATAATGTAATGTTACTTCAATTAAAAATTTAAAAATTTTTGGGCCTTCCTGTGGCCTAGGGTTTACATCTTAGCACTATCATCCTATCACCAATAAGGTCTGAGTTCCATCCCCGGCCAGAATGCTGACCCACATGGCACAGCAGACCTTGCCTGTCTCACCCGCTGCTCCCCTCAGCAGTGTATTTCAGCAGTTCTGCGTGTTCTGCTCCCCACTCTGTCTCTGGTGAATCCTCTTACCTCCCACATCTCTGGCCTACACTCCAGTTCTTCTACATCATAAATAAATATCTCTTAAATTTTTTTCCTTTAAATAAATAAATAAATAATTTAAAAATATGAGTTTAGAAGTCAGCCATAAAAACAGGAAAAAATATTCCAATAGTGGGCCTCCCCGGTGGCGCAGCGGTTGAGCGCTGGGTTGCGAAGCTGCCCGCGGCCTCTGTGGCGCCGGTTCGATCCCCGGCTGCTCCCCGGCCACCGGAGGAGGGTCCCACATGGCGCGCAGACCTCTCCTGCCGCCCGCTGCTCCCCTCAGCAGTGTACTTCGGTCCTTCTGCCTGCTCTGCTCCCCGCTCTGGCTCTGGTGAATTCTCTCACCCTCCCAAGCTTCTGACTGTACCCAGTGCATGTATAAACAAACAAACAAACAAACCAGCAAACAAATAAATAAAGCATGCCTCTATAAAAAAAAAAAAAAAAAAAAAAAAAATATTCCAATAGTACTAAGGAAAGATTCATAGAAAGATATTTTGCCTGTGACACTCTTTCTACAACAAACAATTCACTAGAACCAAGAAATAACTGGTCCCCCAAATGTAATAACTACACACCCATAACATAAGTCTTTGATTTTTAAGTTATTTGTGAAAAAGGGAAAACCTAGTGCAGCAGAAAACACACTAGGCAGAACAACAGGCCTTCTGTGCTGTTCTCAGTGAAGGCCTCTCAGATAATCAACAGCACCGAGGGAAAATATTTAAACACAATTCACTATGAAATTCTTTTTTTTTTTTTTTTTTTTAATTTTATATGGGCAGTCTTTTTTTTTTTTAAAGATTTATTTATCTATTTATACAAGCACTGGGTACAGTCAGAAGCGCGGGAGGGTGAGAGAATTCACCAGAGCCAGAGCAGGGAGCAGAACAGGCAGACTGACAAAACACAGTGCTGAGGGGAGCAGTGGACGGTAGGAGAGGTCTGTGAGCCATGTGGGACCCTCACCGGTGGCCGGGGGATTGAACTGGTGCTGCAGAAGCTGTGGGCAGCCTCGCAGCCCAGCGCTCAACTGCTGTGCCACCGGGGAGGCCCTCAATATGAAATTCTTGATGAACAAAATGACAAAAACTTAGCAAGGGATTAAATGACATGGGTGGAAACACATATACAGAGAGAAATGTGAAGAAGCAGAAAGTTTCAGATGAAAGCTAATCGTTCCCTGTCATCCAAATCAACCCTTCAAACATTCACTTGTTCAAGTGTCCATATGATAAATATTTACTGAATGCCTTCAACTACATGAAACTAGCTAGAACTTAGAGAGAAAACCCTGGAGAGAGGCCTAAATCAGGAAACATTCTCCCATGTAGACATGGGCCTGGGTGTGCTCACTTAGGAAAAAAATAAGGTGGGAAAGAGCTGAGTCCAGAGGCATGCAAATGCCTTAGGTGTCAGGAAGATGAGGAACTATAAGGAGACATTTGATTAGGAAGATGTGCTCCAGAAACCAAGCATCCAGATTTAGAGTTACTGACCTAATCCAGGTTTAGATTGAATTGATATTTGGGGCCAGATGAAATTGCGATGGTTCTTAAAGTATAGTTCACTCACTTTTGGCAAGACCCTAAGACCATCTCAAAAGATTCTTGAATACCAAACTATATATATGTACATGTAAATATATATATATAAAAATCCATATAAAAAAAGTTCCTAAAGGTCTACATTTTTAAGCATATAAAGGAGACCTAAAGTCAAAGTTCAAGAACACTGAACTAGGGGCCTCCCTGGTGGCCTAGGGGTTAAGTCTCAGCGCTATCATCACTACTGCATGAGTTCAATCACCCAGGGAGCTAACCCACAAGGCAAGCAGACCTCTCCTGTCTTGCCTGCTGCTCTCCTCACCAGTGTATTTCAATAAATGCACCTGTTTTGCTCCCACTCTGTCTCTGGTAAATCCTCTCACCCCCACCCCAATGCACCTCTGGCCTGCACCCCAGTTCTTCTATGCAAAAAATAAAGAAAGAAAGAAAAAAGAAAGAAACACTGAATTAGGGACAGAGCACCCATAGAAAACAGCCTGAAGCCAGACATACCAACATCTATGAACAACATCTACAAACTGAGCTGAGAGGGGAAGAAGCCTCCAAAGCACAACTGAGATGTGAGGTTTCACAGAAACACACACACACATAAAGAAATGAAAGTTTCGAAGTTGTCTTAAGTGCTGTTAGGACAAGATTAAGCAAGAGGATATTAATGGAAATACATTATCATCATACCTGTAAAATTGCCAGGCCTGGTGTGAAACCAGGTACTTGTTCCCTCATCTGAGTGACTTGGCTTTTCAGTTTCTCCCTTATTTGCCTAGAGAAAATGAGAAGGTTGTAGTTAACATTTAATGTTGCAAATACAAATAAGCAGTATGGATTATTAGAGGTATTTCTCTTTTAAATTAAAACCATTTTTACTGAAAAGAAATTATCTGGTATAAGATGTATCATGAACTCCCCATCAATTTTCTAAGCCTAAGTAGACATGGATCTATCGCCTACAAGTATTTCTAACACCTAAACTGGGCTCTAGGCTATGGGAACCATTTAAAAACATATTACTCAATGGCATTCAAAATCACAGAACGAACTAATTAAAAAATATTTTTAAAAGATTTATTTATTTATGCATACAAGAACTGGGGTACAGGCCAGAGGTACGGGGGGTGAGAGGATTCACCAGAGGCAGAATGGGGAACAGAACAGGCAGATTGACTGAAATACACTACTGAGGGGAGCAGTGGGTAAGTCCGGAAAGGTCTGCTGCACCATGTGGGTAGCTCCCCGGCCGGGGACTGAACTTGTGCTGCAGATAGCTTCATAGGCTGTGTCTTAACCCCTTGCCCACCAAGGAGGCCCACAAATAAAAATATTTACCAACACTCTGGAAGGCTGCTAATCCTTATCTTTCTCAGCAGTTCTACTCTCTAGTTGCTATTCAAAAACTGTTTCAGGAAAGAATTCGAGTCACACCTTCCACTCAACATACACAAGTAAGATATTCACAGGGCATCCCCATAAAGCTGAATGATAATAAATGAATTCCTACTTCAAATTCAGTATATATTTAGGGCCTCCCTGGTGGCGCAAGGGGTTAAGCACAGCACAGTGAAGCTGTCCGCAGCCTCTGTAGCATGAGTTTGATTGTTGGCCGGCTGGCAGGCTGGCTAGGGAGCTACCCACATGGTGCAGCAGACCTCTCCTGTCTGGCCTGCTGCTCCCCTCAGCAGTGTACTTCGGTCATTCTGCCTGTTCTGTTCCCTACTCTGTCTCTGGTGAAACCTCTCACCTCCCAACGCCTCTGGCTATACGCCAGTTCTTGCATAAACAAAATCTTAACAAAAAAAAATTTAGTATGTATTTAAAAAGCATGTTCTAATTCACAAAAGAATTTTTCTTACAAAAAAATTTAACGTAAGGTTAAAAGTATAGCCTCTTGTGAAGCAAACAAAAAAATTTATCAAAATACAGCTTCTCAACAATATACAAGGATATCAGGTACATTAAATTGCACTCATAAATAAATATTCAAAATAGCCCAGTCTTGCCCAGTTATGATACAGTCATGACCTTGAACAGGATCTGTCACTCTTGAAGGACCAGTTTTGCCACTTGCCTTTCTTCCTCCTACACATTTTAACAACACTTGACATAAAAATATATACTACCATCAGTAAGACCTCTTCCTTCTTTCTATTTTTGTTACTCCCAGCTCCAATTCTCAAAAAAACCCACCCTAAACAGGCACTGGAGTCCCTGGAAGTAGATTATTAGAGTTGCCTAATAAATGGTAAGAATCTTGAACTGATACACAAAATCATACCTAACACTTAAAAATTTAAATCTAGCTTGTGACTTTGTTTTTCCAAATGAATCAGATGACCCCAGTTTATGACAGTTCAATGTACAATTTTTTGACATTTTGATGGTGTGAACATAAGCACTGAATAGAAACCACACAAATTTTGAAGAGCAACAGCTCCCTGTCAACCATGTGATCTTGAGGGTAAACAACCCATACTCTACAGACTGTTTTTCACTTTCAGTACAATATTCAGTTACATGAGATATTCAACATTTTATTGTAAAATAATCTAGCCTTGTGCTAATTTGCCTACTGGAGGCTAATGTAAGCATTCTGTGCATGTGTAAGGTAGGTGAGGCTAAGGTATAATGTTTAGAAGTTTAATGTATTAAATGTAGGTTAAGAAAATTAAATGCCTTTTCTCCCTGTGATAGTTTCAACTTACAATGGGTTTATTTGGACATAACCCCACTGTGTGTCAAGAAAAATCTATATTCTATACAATAATATTGTTCAAAAGAGGGATTAACACAACATTGGATTTTTTAAAACTGGGATTTGACCTGAACAGAGGTGTCACTTCTGCTCTGACACATGAGAACAGGAAACATTGCAGCTGCCAAGTTTTCATAGGCTGCCACAAAAACTCCCAGCAGCTCCCAGTCTTTGCTGCTCCCCTGCATGATAATCAGATGTGGAATTTGAGTAACTGAGAAGGCCTCTTCTGGAGACCAAGTTTCCAGACTCCACTCTCCTCCTTTCCCTCCCACCATTATATTAACACAAAGTGTTAGACAAAGCTTTCTACTGGTTATCCTTAACACAAAATCCATGGAGAAGAAAACCCAACCAAAAAGGTTGGATTCTACATAGTATATTAAATGTGAAGCACAAAAAATGCCAGGGTTACAGATGACTCTGAGGTTTTGGGGGTTGTGAAATGATGCTGGAAATGTGAAACATTACAAATATTTTCAGGTACAGAGCGAATTTCAAACTGATAAGGTGAATTTATTTACCAAATGTTATAAAGGATTCTAGAATACATGAGTATTCAAGACCTGAAAAAGGAATACAGAGACAAAAGTAATACTTACACCCAACAAATAGCAAGCTACGGAAATCCAATATTACAAGGTGGTATGGGCAGAGAATATTATTTCAGTCTAGTAGGTTAAGTAAGAGGTAAGAGCAAAATGTTCTGTTTTCTATGCTATAATTTAAATGGGTCTAAGTTTACAATTTATTTTTCCAGAAAAGGATTATAGTTTGAGATCAGTTACAGTGACTTTCTTAAACTTTCCCCAAGAAACAGGGGAAAGGCCTATATCCTAGGCCTATATCCTATATCCTATCCCTTGCATTAGCAAGGGATATTCTTCCAACTAGAAAGATTTGCTTAAAAGTTAACATTTAGGTCTCTTTATGAGACATGACCAGAATAGCAATGAGACATTTCCAAATGTACATAAACCACAACCAGCAAGAACTAGACAAGCCCAGAACACCAGAGCAATAAGTGGAAAATTTTCTCCTCTAATGAGGAAAAAAATCAAGATAGCCATAATGAGGCCACCCAAATCCCTTAAATTCCCCTCCACCCCCACCCCATGCCTTGGTTTTCTGCGCTGGCAATTAATCAAAAAATCCTAAAATGAAAAGAAAAATAATGAAAGCCAAGTATCCAATAAGCCTGAAGTTAAGAAACTGTAAAAGAAGAATATGAAGAACATGAAAAGTTAACACTCCCTCCCTTGTGTCTTTATTTTAGGGCTATAAGGGAGCAAAACTCTGCCTCCTCAAAATGTCTTATTGGCATAAGTATTATTTCATAGGAGGGACTCTGAAGACTGGGTGAAGGTTGCCTTTTCTGTAAGACACTGACATGGAAGAAGGAAAATCTCTCATTAAGGAAGTTACCCTCATTCTTTTGGGATGACCTAATCTTTTTAACTCTGATCCACAGGTAAGATAGAACGTAAATCTATCTCCACGGCCTTGCTTATAAGTACCTCTGCAAGAACTATCAGTCCTACCCTCTATTCCTTGTCTTAGCTGAGGTTATTTAAAGGGGTGACTGAAGGTACATGGGTGACTCAATCCTCCTGGGTTTCTCCAAAATATACAGGAGATACACATGCTATTATTATTAAACCTCTGTTTTCTCAATCTCTCAGAAGCTTATTTTGTTGTTTGCTAACCTAGAATCCAGAGGGGTATGCAAACATTTCCCCTGTGTCCCAACAGAGTCAAGAGCAGTGATGAACGGTGGAAAACCCTTTAATTTTTATAGCTCTTTATTTCCAGAAAGTACAACAGAACAATTTCCAAATCCTTCACACCTCTAAATCATCAGAAACGTCCTTGATTGCAGAAGCCTCCTATTTATATCCTAGGCCTATGAGTTATATACCATCCTGATAGATTCAAGGTTAAGTGGAATCAAAACAGAACCTTGGGTCCCAGAATAGTAGAACTACACATGTCAGAGTCACCCCGTCAACATTCTCAAAAGCCTAAGAGAAGAGATATCTCAATTTTGATATAGGAGAAATCTGTAAGAGAGTGCTACTCAATGTGATTAATACAAAGTTATAGCAAACCATTAGTTTCTCTGGTCTGGAAGGAGAAATACTAGAAAATATAATTATAGTCAACTAGACAGAGCAGATGTAGTTTTTACTAAGTTGCTACTGGCATCTAGTGGGTAGAGGCCAGGGATGCAACTAAATATCCTGCAATACACAAGACAGTCTTTCACAACAAAACATCCAGTCCAAATGCTAATAGTGTTCAAGGTTGAGAAACCCTGCTGTTGGCAACTAAAATACGATGTGGGAGTTGTCTTTCCTTTCTCAGGGACAAAAATAAGGTGGAAATCATTTATATCTCAACCTGTCAAAATTTGCTTGAATGTGTATGGACAAGAGTGATTTGTATTACTATCATTTTTCTCCAAGTTATCTTCACTCACATAGTTTTTAAAATGCCTAGTCAATAAAAACCAAAGGTGCATTTCCCTATAGAGTCACATTACCCTGAAGAGTCCTAGTCAGACTAGTAACCCTAAATAGTCACCCAGACTTCTTTGGCCCAAGGTCTAAAGGTCTGTTACAAATGCCTGAAAAGGTCCTTTGCAATTCCAACTTGTTATTTAACATGATGACTTCATTTTCACATTTTGTGACTGAGAAAAAAATCATTGCTAAAACACCTAACAAGGTTATTTGAACAGGAAGAGGACACAGTAAAAGGTATTTAGCTAAATGGCTAAGAAATCAAGATGATGAAAATAAAGCTGCCATAAGGCAAAAGGAGCACAAGCGTAGAGTAATTCTCAAAAGATCCACAGAATATGCCATCAGCTGTTAGAGGAGGTGGCACTGGCAAATTTAGCCAGTGAGCTTTGAACTCCATCCCTAAGTCTCCATACTGCAACATCTCGATACAGCTCCCAGCATGCTCAAACTACTTCCTGAATGGTGGGGATGCTGGGAAGGAGCAAGGTG